ATGATCTCAGCTCACTGCAACCGCCGCCTCCCAGGTTCAAGCAATTCTCCTGCCTCAGCCTCCTGAGTAGCTGGGATTACAGGGATGCACCACTACACCTGACTAATTTTGTATTTAGTGGAGACAGGTTTCTCTATGTTGGTCAGACTGGTCTCGAACTCCCAGCCTCAGGTGATCCACCCGCCTTGGTTACCCAAAGTGCTGGAATTACAGGCATGAGCCACCGCGCTTGGCCATATCAAGATTTTTAAATTAGGGGTTGGTAAACAATACTTCAAGGGCCAAATCCAGTTCATTGCCTGTTTTTGTATATGTTTTATTGGACCACAGGTATGCTTACTCATTATTGCATGGCCTACAAAGACAAAAATATTTCCTTTCTCAACTTCTGTTCTCAATTATGAATATTTTCTTCAGAGAAGATTTACACTTGCTTCTGCCAACACCTAGGGGGTACTACTGACCTGAAACAACCTCAGCCTTCTTTAGAAGTCGTCTCAAATTGGTGAACCTAGCTAACAGATCAAAGGCCTTCAGAGCATCTATTCCTCTATACTGCTAAAAGTAGCAGTCCAGTCTTTGACTATATTGTTTTGATTTCAAGATAGTATAGATCTTTAAAAATTTATAATGATGGATCATTTCCACCCACAGAAGGTGTCCTTTTGTGGAATTTTTCTTACATTATTTAATACTTTCCTTTTCTTAAGTCTCTTTTATTTTCCCTTTCTTAAACTCTTACCATTGAATATGTTAGATCTCGGCTGGGCACGGTGGCTCACGCCTGTAATCCTAGCACTTGGGGAGGCCGAGGTAGGTAGATCATTTGAGGTCAGGAGTTTGAGTCCAGCCTGGCCAACATGGCGAAATCCCGTCTCTACTAAAAATAAAATTAGCTGGGCGTGGTGGTGTGTACCTGTAATCCCAGCTACTGAGGAGGCTGAAGCAGGGGAATTGCTTTAAATGGGGAGGTGGAAGCTGCAGTGAGCTGAGATTGCCCCACTGCACTCCAGCCTGGGTGACAGTGAGACTCCACCTAAAAAAAAAAAAAAAAAGAGACCTTATTTGATTTTTTTTTTTTTTTTTTTTTTGAGACGGAGTTTCACTCTTGTTACCCAGGCTGGAGTGCAATGGCGCGATCTCGGCTCACAGCAACCTCCGCCTCCTGGGTTCAGGCAATTCTCCTGCCTCAGCCTCCTGAGTAGCTGGGATTACAGGCACACGCCACCATGCCCAGCTAATTTTTTTTGTATTTTTAGTAGAGACGGGGTTTCACCACGTTGACCAGGATGGTCTCGATCTCTTGACCTCGTGATCCACCCGCCTCGGCCTCCCAAACTGCTGGGATTACAGGCTTGAGCCACTGCGCCCGGCCTTATTTGATTCTCTAATTTATCATTTCTATCCTATTTTCTATTCTTTTGTCTTTTGATTGTACTTTCAGGGTGAATTTCTCAACTTTATCTCCCAATTCTTCTAATGAATTACCTTGACTCTCATTTTTAATTTATAGGTGCAATTCCTTGCTCTAAAATTTTTTTGGATAACATTGTTCTCCTTTTATGGATACATCTGGTTTCTCTCAAAATATTAGTTATATTTAGGGAGTATTTTTCTGATCTTTGCATTTTGTATCTACTCCCTACTCATGTCTGGTCTTTCATGTATAGAGATTTTCCTCAAATATCAGGCTATCCTGAGCTCTAAGTTCATATTTAATAATAGGGCACTAAACAGCTGAATGGAAACCCAATACATACTCATGACTTGGTAAATAGAGGGCTTCATTGAAGAGTGATAAGGTGGTAAACAGGTTTTATTATTATTTTTATCATTAAGGGACAACCAAAATGGAGATTTTTTTTCTGGTGCCATTTTACTTCTCCAGAGGAAAAAAACCTGGCAGACAAAACTAGACTTGATTGCCAGTATCATGGGAAAAGGTAGGGAGCCCACATAAAAATGCACATTTTCATTTCCTCCGTATTTTCAACCCTGTATCTTATTCATACCTTCTTTTATCCCTGGTATCCTCTAAGTCCAAGCTCTTCCAGTTCAGTTTCTCAAAAGAATTAATCTCTGGTCTCCTCCAGCTTGAAAAGGGAGGACAGGAAGTGGCCACCTGATTTTTTTTTGGGGGGACAGGGTCTGACTGTCACCCAGGATGGAGTGCAGTGGCATGATCTTGGCTCGCTGCAACCTCAGTCTTTTGAGGCGGCTCAAGTCGTCCTCCCACCACCTCCGCCTCCCAAGTAGTTGGGACTACAGGTTCACCCTACCATGCCTGGCTTTTTTTTTTTTTTTTTTTTTGGTGGAGATGAGGTTTCACTACATTGCTCAGGCTGGTGTCAAACTCCTGGACTTGAGCGATCTGCCTCACTTGGCCTACCAAAGTGCCGGGACTAGTGGCATAAGCCACCATGCCCGGCCTCCATCTGACTTAAGTAGGGTTGGGGAAAGATAGTTTAGTTATTCTGTATCCAGACTTTCAACCAGTCTTTAACATCTCAAGCACCATCTCTGCATCTGAGCACTGGTTCCTTCAAGGTTCTGAGCACCTACCTCGTGTGGTATCCTGGCTTCTTTCTCACCGCATTACCTTTTGCAGTCACTCAACAAGCTTCTTTGGTTCTGGTTCTACTAAGTCAGTCATACTTTCTCGACCTGCATTTTGTTTCCCAAAAATTAATTTTATCCTTTGATTTCTTCTCTCCTGCTCCGTTTGTCATAGTATAGTTACACTTTATGGACATTTTACTGAGATTTCAGGAAAGAAAACAAAAGCTAATTGCAGTATTTAGCTGGGAGGCTTCAAATTGAATTGTAAATAATCCTAAAATATAGGACATAGATATGTTTTCCATGTTTTTCTCTTCCTGGAAGTACTTTAATTAAAATCACCCCACCTAAAAGCCAAAAACCTATTATATCAGCAGTGATTCTTATTAGAACTTTCTTAATATAGCAGATCTATACTTGCTATAGATGAAAATACAAGGGAACAAATGAAGGATAAGCATTCATTGAATAGGAAAATGAATATATTTACAAATATATTGGTAAGATACAGAAATTTGTAACGCAAATCACATTTTAATATAGTTTTAAAAATTCTTCCAAATATAACAAATTTAATCAGAAAAAACACCTGAAACATCTTAACCATTAGTACATTATCTTAAAGGATTATTTCCCTGATTCCTTGGCTTACTATGTTGTATTTATAAAGGTATAAACTACTGATTTTTCCATTAGAGTATTTTATACTAAATGTAGTTTCTTTAGCTGATAATTATAAAGAAAATTGTTGACTAAGATCATGTGTTAAATAGTGGGAAAAATTTCCCTTAGTAAACTGGTAAAGACTATAAGTTGATATTTTCAAACTTGTGATTAATATAAAGTAGTAAGCAATAAAATCCGCAGCCCCACAAGAACCTCAGTTTTTCTATTCCAAAAATCGTTATAAAAAGTGTACTGAGTGCAATGTATTATCCAAGTTTGTTTTAAAAATCAACCAACATACCAAAATGATTCGTCAAGAAATAAGAGCAAAGAAATAGTTAACAGTGTCAGGTTTGCTAAATAAATAAATAAATAAATAAATAAATTACTGTCCAGGCATGGTGGCTAATGCCTGTAATCCCAGCACTTTGGGACGCCAAGATGGGCGGATCACCTGAGGTCGGGAGTTTGAGACCAGCCTGACCAACATGGAGAAACCCCATCTCTACTAAAAATACAGAATTATCCGGGCGTGTGGCACATGCCTGTAATCCCAGCTACATGAGAGGCTGAGGCAGGAGAATTGTTTGAACCCAAGAGGCAAAGGTTGCTGTAAGCCAAGATGGCACCACTGCATTCCAGCCTGGGCAACAAAAGCAAAACTCCATCTCAAAAAATAAAAAAAAAAATTATTGTCAAAGACATCTGAGGAGTCTAAAACGCATTTATTGTAGCAGAGGGCTTCAGGCTGATTCTTATACTGTTGTTAAAGCAACCTTTCAATGCTTTACAGTGAAAAAAATCAGCACATATTTATTTTAAAAAATTATCAATACCTTCAAAATAAGGTTTAAACTTGCCTTGAGAACATGAATTGGCTATGATACAAACCCATTATTTGACAAATTGGGTGAATTTTTTTAGTAACCTAAAAGAAATTGGCTAAAACTCATATATGACAGAGTTGAGAAGCTCTAATTCAGGTCAGAAAAATGGGAGAGAGATCAGTTCCTTTTTATGGAATGAAAGAACAATTTTATTATCTTTTTTGAAATAGTGAAACATTTTGGGCTCACTTAGTCTCTATTTCTTTCTTTTTATAGAGATAGGGTCTCACTGTAATACCCAGGCTGGTCTTGAACTCCTGAGCTCAAGTAATCTGCCTGCCTCAGCCTCCCAAAGTGCTGGGATTATAAGCACGAGACACCATGCCTGGCTAGTCTCTACTTTCAAAAGATAGCAGTAGGCCAAGCACAGTGGCACACGCCCATAATCCCAGTACTTTGGGAGGCAGAGGCAGGAATACTTGAGCCCAGGAGTTTGAGACCAGACTGGGCAACACAGTGAAATCCCATTTCTATAAATGAAAACAAAAAAACACAGCAGTAAGCTAAAAATATTAAAATATCAATACTAGCTTATTCTCAAAAACAACTTTCTGCTATATAAATAAAAAGTGCTTGTAACTAATAATATTCATTAAAAATGTCAACTCTTAGGATCATAAAAGGCCTATCTCACTGCCAGCAATAAGAGTGGTATATGCTAAGGGACATCATATTTACAGAAAACAAAAATATATATTCAATTATTTCCTATAGTTCTAATATAGTCATTATACCAATAAGCATAAAATAATCTTATTTTGATATGGCAATTAAAACAAACAAAATTATGGCAGAGTAAAATGCAAGGAACTAACTCCTCATTAGGGATTTCTGGACATTAAGTATTTTGACTAGTTCGTAATGAAGTTAAATATGACTAGAACACAATTCAGAAAAGACAGACTAATTTATTTGTTTTATAAAATAGAATGAGAGCTTAGTTTAGATAATCAAGAGGTAACAGCTTCAGATATCATCTTCACCAAGAATCAATTTGTAGTGTTTCTTATTCATTTAAAGGAATCAGGAAGAAAAATCCATTTAATTTCTGCTGCCTGCCCAGTCACGTCAAAAATTCTTAAGGAGGCTAAAATAAAAATACCTTGGGTTTTGGTCAATTTTTAAAGTAAAAATTTCCAGATGCTCCAAAAGCAATGAGTTCAATTTGGTGTCTTGTGTTCTGGCAAAGAACAGTTAAGTTTATAGCTTTGGAGTTGTAGCTTTCAAATGCTGTGACCAACTATTTGAGAGTTATAATCTGCAGGCTCCATTTTCAAAATATGTGGAATAACACTGTCAATTCGTATGTTGCCAATGAGACCTTTGAAAAACAATTCTTCAGTGATGGTAGCGTTCATCAGTCTTAAAGCTGGCAATCTGAGTAGTAGTCTGGATAACCTAAAGAAAGTAAAAGGGCGAGGAACAAGGTTGTAAACCAGAAAGAAATTTAGTACAAAAGTATGAGTAATTTCTGCATGTGGCCTAATTTAATAAAGATATTATTTTCAAAAGTTAAAATCAAAACTTAAGTATCCTCAAGCCTTACAGTATATGGCAATTACTGTGTAATGCAGTCTGACAAACTCCACAGGGGAAAGCCCTGCTCTTAATGCTACAGTGTACTGCCTCCACTTGGCTGTAAGGACCATGGAGCTGAGTTGTGAAACCATGCATCAAGTTATACAACTTGTTTTTTTTTTTTTTTTTTTTTTTGAGAGAGGACCTCACTGTGCTGACCAAACAGGAGTACAGTGGTGTGATCTCGCTGCAGGCTCAATTCCTTGGGCTCGAGTGATCCTTCCCGCCTCAGCCTCCTGAGTAGCTGTGGCTCCATGCCACCCCGGCTAATTGTTTTTGTAGAAACAGGGTCTCACTATGTCACCCAGGCTGGTCTCACAGTGCTGGGCTCAAGCAATCCTCCTGCATTGACTTCCCAAAGTACTGAGATTATAGGCATAAGCCCCTGTGCGAGGCCAAGTTATACATTTAAGAATGGTGGCTGGAGGTCAGTGGCTCACACCTGTAATTGCAGCACTCTGGGAGGCCAAGGTGGACAGATCACTTGACATCAGAAGTTCGAGACCAGTCTGGCCAATGTGGTGAAACCTCATCTCTACTAAAAATACCAAAAAAAAAAAAAAAAAAAAAACCCACACAAAAAAACCCAAAAAACAATTGGCCACACGTGACCAGCCTAACCAACATGGTGAAACCTTGTCTCTACTAAAAATAGAGAAAAATTAGCCGGGCATGGTGGCACATGCCTGTAACCGCAGCCACTCGGGAGGCTGAGGCAAGATAATCATAAGCATTACTTGAACTTGGGAGGCAGAGGTTGCAGTGAGCTGAGATCATGCCACTGCACTCCAGCCTGGGTAACAGCAATACTCTGCCTCAAAACAAACAAACAAACAAAAAAAAAAACAAACAAAAAAAAACCAAAACACATGGCTTAGTAACTCCTTTCAGGTTTTAAGAATGACAACGTTTTGTGTTATCAGGACATAAGACATTTTCTTGGTTTTGCTCTGCAAAAAAACTACTGGAAATGGCAAAATAGGCAACAGTTGCTATTACTGGGAAGAGCAGAGAACACAGAATCAAGACTGTTGGGTTCAAATCTTGATTTAACTGCCCACTACACGTGTGCATATCACTTACTCACTGTCTCTCACAATGCTGTTGCGAGGATGAATGAAATGATCCCTGCCAGTTTCTGTGCCAGGTGAGGTTCCTTAGGGCAGGACCCTATCTTGTGTGACACTGTCTTATAGGTTGAAAACTACTATCCAAGTATAATGTATTGTTTTTAAGTAACCAAGAACATAAAAAACTGAGAAAGAGTTGCAGTCACAAAGGAGAAAAAATTTATTTGTATAATGAGGTATAGTGACTTTTTTTTTTTTTTTGACGAGTCTTACTCTGTCACCCAGGCTGGAGTGCAGTGGCTTGATCTTGGCTCACTGCAACCTCCTCCTCCCAGGATCAAGTGATTCTCCTACCTCAGCCTCCCCAATAGCTGAGATTACGGATGCTCGCCACCATGCCCCGCTAATTTTTGCATTTTCAGTGGAGATGGGGTTTCACCACGTTGGCCAGGCTGGTCTCGAATTCCTGACCTTAGGTGATCCACCCGCCTTGGCCTCCCAAAGTGCTGGGATAACAGGCGTGAGCCACCGCGCCTGGCCTAGAGTAACTTTTAAAGATGCTGAAAAACAACCACAACAAAACCACCTTTCCAAAAACATTGTGGTGGGTTTATCCTTCTGTCCTAAGGCCTTGCACTCTTAACACTTCAGACCAAATGAGACCAGCAGCCCCCAGGATGAAGTGATCTTCCTGTAGCTGTGTGCTCTACTTCTCAAATTACTCAGCATCCACAAATTACTCAGCATCTACAGAACTGGTAGAAAGCAGGATAGGAAAACAAGTTAGATAAACTAAGGTTGATATTTGAGATGAGACTGGTTTATAAATCTACATTATTTAATATATATAAAAAGTATATTTAAAAATGTTATTTTACTAGTTTCAAGTATGCTAAACTAATAAAATGTTTTATTTATTACAAGCAAACACACTTATACAGCCTTTACTATATGATAGGCACAGTCCTAAGCACTTTACATATATTAACTGATTTAATCCTTGAAATAATTGTAAACAGTGAATACTATTATTATCTCCATTTATAGGTAAGGAAATGTGCCCAATTGAAACTAGTAAGTGCTGGAGTCAGGACTCAAATCCAGATACTCTGGCTCTGTAACCATGTGCTTAACCCCTTGGCTATAATGTCCCTCTTTAAAATGAAAGTGGCTCTTACAAAAAAAAGTTTTCTCAACATTGGCGAGCAATAGCTTGGACAGAATTCCATAAGCCATGTTTCAAAATTAATTATAAAATAGTCTAATGTTGTTTGCTATTTTTTAGTATTATTTTAGACAGGGTCTCGCTCTGTCACCCACACTGGAGTGTAGCAAAGTGATCACAGCAAAGTGATCATTGCAGTCTCACCTCAGCTTCCTGGGTAGCCAGGACTACAGGCATGCGCCACCACCCTCCACCCCCAACCCGGCTAATTTTTGCATTATTTTGTAGAGACAGGGTTTCGCCATGTTGTCTAGGCTGGTTTCCAATTATTTTTTATCCTCTTTTTACTAACGAAATTCATTATTTCATCTGAAGAGAAAGAGTCTGGACTTTAGAGTCAGACTACCTGGGTTCACGGACAGGTGCTATCATTTACTGTGTGACCTTGAGTAAAGCTAACCTGTCTGTTGAAGTCTCCTCTTATATAAAATATAAGAACTGGATGAAATATTTTATGTAATATACTTGCAACAATGCAATAGTATTTTTTATAGCATTAGTATTTCAAAGGTTAAGATTGCCTAAAACGCCTAATTACTGTAAGACTAAAAATAATGAGATAACAGACCCACAAAAGGTTTTTAAATTATTTGAATTATATAGTATTTAACTCTAGATACCTGTAGGTGTCATCTGGATATGTTTTTGTTATATAATCTTGGAATTCCACATAAGCTTTTTCCTGAAATTTCTCTATCTGTTCCATGTTTTCTAGGCCTGGATGATCTGAAACATTAAAGAATACATTGGCACCCTAGTTCTGAATGTTCATTTAAGACAGTGGAGATGGAAAGAATAGTTAAGTCAAAAAAGAACCCTATCATAAAATGTGTGGCTCATTCATTCCGCAAATACTGACTGAGCCCACCTACTATGCACCAAGCACTATATTTTACACATTTAAAATTATTTTTTATGTCATATACATATGCCAACAACTAATAAAAAACAAGTGGATGTTACCAAAATAGTTTTCTCTCCATTCCAAAAGTAGTAGGAAGGCATTTGGTAACTTTGCTTTTAACAAGAGCAAAAGGCTAAAATGACTCAGCGTAAAAAGACATTTTAAATCCATGAAATATTAGCAGATTATATTCTATGCCATATTTTTATAAGACAAAAATTCTATTAATTTTAGGTAAAAAGGTATATAAGAAATTATGAAACCATAAATATCTATCAGAAAAATTACAACAGAAATATGAAATAATCTATAAGCATTTCAATGATCATTGTAACATTTAACAAAAACAGAAATATTAAAAGAACTTCATAAAAATTATGCCTTGCTTAAGAAATGTTCAACATGGAAAGCTCTATTCTCATGGATGAAAATTTTAAAAAGTAATAAATGGAAAATCCTAAAAATACTTAGTAAAATAAAATTAAAATCAATACATTAGAATTTAAACTTCAAATCTATGTTCTTTCAATTTTCACCTAAGGAAAATGAAGGTGACAAATTGTGATATAAGAATAAAAACATATGTTACTAACTCATAAGAAACAGTAAAACAGGCTTTAATGTTTTTACTGGTATCACTGGCCGAAAGAAGGTTTCGTCAGATAATTTTATTATGATGCACAAGAACAGAAACATATATCAGAACGAAAAATACAGAACCTAACTTAGAGAACAATTTCTCTTATTCAGAAATTGATCATTGAGAGTTTACCATCATTTTATCATCTATGAAAACTGTAAACTGGCAGGAAACAAGAGACCAGTTTTTCTATTTGTTGGTAACTTATATAAGATGTTTGGAAATTTAACCCATCATCATAGTAATACTCATCTCTCATTCTGCCTTTAGTAATGCCTAAGAATACAAACCTAAGAATTCAAGGCATAATTTTTATGAAGTTCTTTTAAAATTTGTTTTTGTGAAATGTTACAGTGACCACTGAAATGCTTAGAGTGTTTCATATTTCTATTATAATTTTTTGATGGAGATGGTATTTATGGTTTCATAATTTCTTATATACCTCGATGTGGCAATAGAAATAGAGGTCTGTAATATTTTTTATATTTTATTTCTGAGACAGCATCTCTGTCTACCAGGCTACGATGCAGTGGCGTGACCAGAGCTCACTGCAGCCTCAAACTCTCAGGGTCAAGTGATCCTGCCACCTCAGCCTCCTGAGTAGCTGAGACTACAGGTGCACACCAGCACATCCAGCTGATTTTTTCCATTTTGATTTTTGTAGAGAAGAGGTCTCATTATGCTGCCCAGGCTTCTCAAACTTCTGACCAGTGCTCCACCTTGGCCTCTCAAACTGTAGGGATTACAAGCATAAGCTATTGCACCCTGCCAAAGTCTATCATATTTCACTGACTTCTCAACCTCCCTTTTTATATCCCGATAAATGTCTAACATCGTTAAAATTCACCAATTTAAAGTATACAATTCAGGCTGGGTGCAGTGGCTGACAGCTGTAATCCCAGAACTTTGGGAGGCTAAGCAAGGCCGGCAGATCACCTTAGGTCAGGAGTTCAACATCAGCCTGGCCAACATAGTGAAACCCGTCTCTACTCAAAATACAAAAATGAGCCGAGTGTGGTGGTGTATGCCTCTAATCCCAGCTACTATGGAGGCTGAGGCAGGAGAATCACTTGAACATAGGAGGCAGAGGTTGCAGTAAACCAAGATTGTGCCATTGCACTCCAGCCTGGGTGAGAGAGTAAGACTCAAAAAATATATATACAATTCAATAGTTTCTAGTATTTTCAGAGTTGTACAACCATCAGAACAATCTAATTTTGGAACATTTTTGTCACTCCAAAAAAAAACTACTTTACTTATTAGCAGTCACTTCCCATTTCTTCCTTTTCCTTAGCCTGTGGCAACCACTTACCTATTTTATGTCTATACAGGTTTGCCTATTTTGCATATTTATATAAATGAAATCAAACAATATGACTGGCTTCTTTCATTTAGCAGAACGTTTTAAAGGTTCATCCATGTTGTAGTAGGTACTAGAATTTCCTTCCTTTTTATGCCTTAATGATATTCCATTATATGTATACATTACATTTTATTTATTTCTTCATCTGTTGATGGACATTTGGATTGTTTCCACTTTTTGGCTATTATGAATAATGCTGCTGTGACTATTTAGATACACATTCTTGCACAGATATATAATTTCATTTTTCTTGGGCTGACAAGAGTGAACCTGCTGAGTCATATAACTCCATGTTTAATCTTTTGAAGAACTACTAAACTCTTTTCCAAAGCAACTGCACCATTTTACATTCCTACTTGCAACATATTAGGGTTTCTATTTCTCCACATCCTGAAACATTTTATTTTGAATGAATAGTAAATGTTTATATACCTGGACTGAAGAGTACTATTGCCTTCAGGTAGGCATATTCATATCCATCAATGCAGAGTTTAACCATGCTGTTACAAAACTCCTGTAGTCGGAAGATGTGGTCCATCAACAATTTTCTTCTTTCTATTGACATTTTATCTTTAATTAAAAATAAACAAATGTTTCTAGTTTTTGTCTAAAATCAACAACTACTTTCATCCCATATATTTTCCTCAGGAATTTTGAAAACTTTTCTAAATCTTAAATTGTTTTTGAGACAGGGTTTTACTCCTGTTGTCCAGGATGGAGCGCAGTGGGGCGATCTTGGCTCACTGCAACCTCCGCCTCCTGGACTCAAGCAATTCTCCTGCCTCAGCTTCCCAAGTAGCTGGCACTAGAGGTGCTTGCTACTGTGCCCGGCTAATTTTTGTATTTTTCATAAAGATGAGCTTTCACCATGTTGCCCAGGCTGGTCTTGAACTCCTGGGCTCAAGTGATTAGCCCACCTATACTTCCCAAAGTGTTGGGATTACAGGCATGAACCACTGTGCGTGGCCTTCCTCTCATGAATTTTAAGCTTTGAGTATAACCAGTATAGAAATGTTTAAAATTCAGTATTTCTGTAATTATAGCTAAAATTAATCATCTTAAGATACTGTTCATTCAATAACAACAAGCTGTTAGTATACAATCTGTATAAAAATTCTAAGTAGAAAGGTTTATATTTCTTTCCTTTTTTTTTTTTGAGACAAGAGTCTCGCTCTGTCGCCCAAGGATTGAGTGCAGTGGGCCATCCTGACTCACTGCAACCTCCACCTCCTGGGTTCAAACAATTCTCCCACCTCAGCCTCCCGAATAGCAGGGACTACAGGTGCACATCACCATGCATAGCCAAATTTTGTATTTTTAGAGTCAAGGTTTCCCCATGTTGGCCAGGCTGGTCTTGAACTCCTGACCTAAAGTGATCTGCCTGCTTCTGCCTCCCAAATTGTGAGCCACTGCACCCAGCCGGGTTTATATTTCATCTTAATTCTTTTGATGTTGCAAAAGTACTTTTAAAAAATGAATTAGTTTCTCATGGTAATTGCTTTTGGAAAAAATTACATATAAAAAATGGATTATTTGAATGCTTATGGTACCTGACTTGTTTAAAAAAAAAAAAAAAGAAAAGAAAACTTTAAACGTAATGGCTCCTTTTTAAAAAAAAAGAAAGAAATGGGTCTCAATCTGTTGGCCAGGCTAGGGTGCAATGGTGCAATCATAGCTCACTGCAACCTCAAACTCCTGGGCTCAAGTAATTCTCTGCCTTAGATTCCTAAGTAGCTGGGACTACAGGTATGTTCCACCATGGCCAAATAATTTTAAAAAATTTTTTGTAGAGGCGGGGTACCACTATATTGTCCAGGCTGGTCTCAAACTCCTAGGCTCACACAATCTCACCTCAGCCTCCCAAAGTGCTGGGATTACAGGCGTGACCCACCCCGCCTGGCTGAAATGTTTGCTTTCAAGATACACCTTTGAGAACATAAAAAGTAAAGATAACCATCTGAAACACTGGAAAACTAGAATTAAGACTCAAATTTTGGTAATAGGACTTTATTTAAACGTATATTGGTTGGGAAAAAGTGAGCAAAACCATCTACATGTTTTACTACCAAGACATAATAAAAACAAATACTTAGTAAAAATATTGTTAAGAAGAAAGAAAACTGAAGCAGAATAAAGTTTTACAATAAAGATTTTAATACTTAAAAGTGTGTTAGTGACTTTAGGGGAAAAAAGTTTTCATTTATAGCAGAGGGACATATGTAAAACACATCCATTAGTAATTAGTCAACCACAGCTTTCCTGAAGGTAGGCTTTATAACCATTACAGGTATGTAAGACATGAACCAGGGGTAGGAGTCTGGAAGTAAGATGGGAATGTGATGCTGCCTTCTGGTATATCTATTTTTGATGACATTTTAACGTGATTACCCCTCTGCTATTAAATATAAGGAAGAAGCAAATGACTATTGCCTCCTACATCCTGGAAAAGGTAATAAGGAAGGTGCTTTTTACCTTGTTGAAGACTATTGTGAAGACAATTGACAAATGTTGCTAATATAGTTGCTACATTCATCACTTGCCAGCACTGGGCAAGACCAAGGGTAAAAAGTTCATTCCAGTAAGCTTTCACCAGTAATATGCTGTTTTCTTGCCTATTAAAAACAGTAATAAAAGCACAAAATCAGATATTATTAAAATAAGTTTTATAAACCTTACACCTAGTCCAAATATTTAAAAATAACATATTACTAAACTAAAATTACTCTAGAAAAGATATGATCGAGTCTGTGTTTTGTGTAGCTGATAACAAAATGAGAAACGAGGAATGCTTAGACATTTAAATAGTAGCTAGCTCATTATCAGTCAGCCAGTTTATAAGAACAATTGCAAGTAATATTTCTTTTTTTTTTTTTTTTTTGAGATGGAGTTTCGCTCTTGTTACCCAGGCTGGAGTGCAATGGCGCGATCTCGGCTCACCGCAACCTCCGCCTCCTGGGTTCAGGCAATTCTCCTGCCTCAGCCTCCTGAGCAGCTGGGATTACAGGCATGCGCCACCATGCCCAGCTAATTTTTTGTATTTTTAGTAGAGACGGGGTTTCACCATGTTGACCAGGATGGTCTCGATCTCTCGACCTCGTGATCCACCCACCTCGGCCTCCCAAAGTGCTGGGATTACAGGCTTGAGCCACCGCGCCCGGCCGCAAGTAATATTTCAAACTAAACAAGCTGGGGCTTTAACTTTCCATTCCATAGAAATGGAATAAAAATTGTTCTTAAAATAAAAGCAAACGCATATATTAAAAAAAAAAAAAGACCAACCACCACCACCTTTTCCAAGCTTTCTTTTGCTCTGAATACAGGTAAATACTGTTAAAAAGAAAGGGCAATTCAAATTATTTTATTTTATTTTTTTTTGAGACAGAGTTGTGCTCTGTCACCCAGGCTAGAGTATAGTGGTGCAATCTCAGCTCACTGCAACCTCTGCCTCCTGGGTTCATGCAATTTTTGTGCCTCAGCCTCCCGAGTAGCTGGGATTACAGGCATGCACCACCACACACAGCTAGTTTTTGAATTTTTAATAGAGTTTCAACATGTTGACTAGGCTGGTCTTGAACTCTTGACCTCAGGTGATCTGCCCACCTTGGCCTCCCAAAGTACTCAGATTACAGGCATGAGCCACCACTCCCAGCCTCTATAATTATTTTATAGTAGGCAAGCAACCAATTTTAGGAGAAAAATGGTTCATTGAATAAGTATGTTTCAGATGAGATATTAGTATCCCTACAAATGAGATACCCAGGATTTTACTATGAATAACAAGAGATTAGAAAGGACAAAAGTTCTTTCCTGAATTTCTAAGTAATCTCAGCAGCATAAGAGAGTAGAAAAATTATTTAACAGGAGTCAAAGCACCACGGTTTAAACCTACTTACCCATTTGAAATTAGGCAAATAAACTTTCCAGGTCTCAGGCTGTCTAACTATATAAAATACAGAGACACTATATATTCTATATATCTTGCTTAGAGTTATTAAGAAGTAAAATATAAGAATTAGCTGGGGCTGGGTGCGGTAACTCATGCCCGTAATCCCAGCACTTTGGGAAGCTGAGGCAGACACATCACTTGAGCCCAGGGGATCCAGATCAGTCTGGGGAACATGGCAAAACCCTATCTCTACAAAAAATACAAAAATTAGCTGCGTGTGGAGGTGCACACCTGTAGTGCCAGCTACTTGGGAGGCTGACGTGGAAGGATCACCTGGGCCTGGGGAAGTCGAGGCTTCAGTGAGCTGTGATCACACCACTGCACTCCACCTTGGGCAACAGAGTGAGACCCTATGTATTTAAAAAAAAAAAAAAAAAGAAAGAAAAAGATTAGCTGGGTGCTGTGGCACATGCCTGTAGTCGCAGCTACTCAGGAGGGTTACGGTGGGAGGATTGCTTGAGGCCAGGAGTTTGATGGGGTAGCGCACCATGACTGCATCTGTGAAGAAACACTGCACTCCAGCCCCTAACCTGGCACAAGACCTTGTATCAAAAAAAAAAAAAAAAAAAAAAATTGAGAAAGTATATGCCAGGTACTGGAGAAATAGCAATCAAGTCAATTAAGTTTGCCTTCATGAAAAAGAGGGGAAATAACAAACATATAATTTTAAATATATAAATAATATATACATTAGTTTCAGGTCATATAAATTCTACATTACTATAAAGTATGTATATTAGAAAATGGGAAGGTTTAGGTAACGGTGGTTAGAGAAGGCATTTTTGAGGCTAGTGACATTTGAGTGGAGAAAGATGTTAGAGAACTAAAATAAAAAAACCAAAAACCAGAAAGATCTAGGGGAATAGTATCCCAGGGAAAACGGGCAAATGCGCTAAGGTGAGAACAGATATACAATAGGTATTCCAAAAACAATTGCTGAGTGAATTACTAAATCCTATCCTATCGTCTTGGAGAGATTTAAGTTGTTAAGAACATTCTGATAGGAAATATGTCGAACCTGATGAATGGTACTTACATACTTTTGCTTAATAAATAAAGCTTTAAAATCCTAATTTTAAGTGTGTTTAACAGAAATCATTTGTTAAGAGTCACAGCCTTATTTATGACATTACATTTTATTAAATAATTGAACATAGTTGAAACGAATGCTAATACTGTCCGCTTAGTCACAGCAAGTTTTTTTCTGATAATTATTAATGTGAAATTTTAATTCCAGGCTGATCTCTTTTCTGTGCAGTATCTGAGAAGGATTACTCGCCACAAGAAACTGTCTATCATTTCAAAATAAAGTTTAAATGCAAAGAAAACCAGTATTTTACAATCTTCATATAGAAAATGGTTAAAAATATCAATCTTAAACAAAATCAAAGGAAATAAAAATAAGGAATACTATTTTAATTAAAGATGGATAAAAATTCAAAATTGAGGGAGAGGTGAGGAAATAAGCATTAATTCTCATCATTGCTACATGAGCATAAACTGGATCAACATCTTTTCAAAGAACAATTTGGTAGTAGTCATTAAAAATTAAACTGTACACTTCCTTAGACCCAGCAATTTCACCTCTAAGAAACTATTTTATAGAAATACAGTCATGCATAGCACAACATTTTGATCAACAATGTACCGCATATACAATGCTGGTCCCATAAGATTATAATACCATATTTTTATGGAAACTTCTCTATGTTTAGATACACAAATATTTACTATTGTGTTACCACTGCGTATGTTATTCAGTACGGTAACATGCTATACAGGTTTGTAATCTAGGAGAACTAGACTATAGCATATAGCCTAGATGTGTAGTAGGCTTATGTAAGTACACTCTATGATGTTCACAATGACAAAACTGCCTAAGGATGCATTTCTCAGAATATATAGCCATCATTAAACGAGCAACGCATGCCTATACTAAGAAGACTATACTATCAAAAGTGGGCAAAAATACATATGCAATGCCACAAAATGCACATTGTAGCACTGTATATAGTAACAAAGAAAACTGGCAACAACCCAAATGTCTACTAGTAAGGAATAAATGCATAAAATGGAATACTATAATAGAAGCCATAAGGACAAATGGGGTAAATTTACATGTACCAATGCAGGAAGAAGTCTGTGAGTGTAAAAAGCAAGGCAAAGAATAGGATGCGTAAATATGTGTACATATTTGTCTAATAAATATCTCAAGGAAAAATTCTAGTAGAACACAAAACTGTTAACAGTAGGGTTAGTTACCTCTGGTGAGTGAGGTTTTACTTTATTTATAGTCCTACACTTCAATATTACTTTAAACGTTTAAAAAAAAATTTAAAAGCTAACATGAAGAAATTTAGAGTAAATTCAGTTTTCACTTTTAACCTCTGATTCTGATTTTTTTTTTTTTTGAGACTGAGTCTCACTCTGTCGTCCAGGGTGGAGTGCAGTGGCACATCTCAGCTCACTGTAACCTCCACCTCCCCAGTTCAAGCAACTCTTCTGCCTCAGCTTACCAAGCAGCTGGGACTACAGGTGTGTGCCACCATGCCTGGCTAATTTTTGTATTTTTAGTAGAGATGGTGTTTCACCATATTGGCCAGGCTAGTCTCAAACTCCTGACTTCGGTGATCCACCCTTGTGATCCATCTCCTGGATTCAAGTGATTCTCCTGCCTCAGCTCCCAAAGTGCTGGTATTACAGGTGTGAGCCACCGCGCCTGGCCTGATTCTGAAGTTTTAAAGAGGAAACAGCTAACCAAAGTAGTTTACTAGTAAACACAGGAAAGGAAAAAAAAAAGAAAAATAAAAAATCAGAGCAGGCCTGTGCTTTGTATCTTGCAGTAAGGAAATACCTTGGCATTGTTGGAGAAGCTCAGAAAACAGAAGTATAAGTGCAAAGGGTAAGAATGCCATAACTATTACTAAGGAAAAAAGACAGACGTGGCAGATGAGAAACAGCCTATCAGAATATTGTGTTTCCAAAAGAAAAGTGGAAGGACTGCAGAAACCAACTACCGAAAGATATCTATTTACATTTATCCAACCCCCCAAACCAAAAATCCTTATGGGATAGCTATGTTTTTAAAAAGTTCAATTACATTAAGAAAGAAAAACAGCAAGGCCACTCTAAAAAGGTAGTCCTGAAGAGAATGAAGAAAAATGACCTTTTATTATCTACTTTGCAGCAGGCAATGGCTTAGATACATTTACTTTCATTATCTCACCTACGTGGTGTAGTTCATAATCAAGTGTTTCTGCTCCCAATTTACAGACACTGAGCCTCATTTAATTTAGGTTACTTGGTCCAAAGATACAAAAGCTAGCAGATGCATCAGAACAGAATTTGAACATTTATGCTCCTTTATACCTCATTACACAATTTAGCAAGTAAAATGCTAAAGTCAAATTTCTTAGTATAGACTCCTCCATTTAAGGTTAATATTTTGGGATGGTAAGGGCATGTTTGCTACCAGTTTTTCCTGTAAGGAAAAGAAAACAAATGACTATTGTAGTTTATGTTCAAAACATCTTTCCTTTAAGAAGCAAAAAGAGCTCAGTGGAGACTGTAGTTAAGATTATCAATAAAGCATTCAAAAAGCAACACAAGTGTTGACGTTAAAAAAAAAAAAAGGTCGGATATGATGGCTCATGCCTGTGATCCCAGTACTGTGGGAGGTTGAGTTGGGAGAATCACCTGGGGCAACAAGTTCGAGATCAGCCTGGACAACATAGTGAGACCTCTATCTCTATTTTAAAAAAAGCATTAACTTGCAAAACAGTAAATGTGTTAATTTCTCTTACAAACAGGTACAGGTATTTTTCTCTAACTACTGCACCATTTCGTGGGTTTGCTTTTTTTTTGTAGGCGGAGTCTCACTCTCACTCAGGCTGGAGTGCAGTGGCATGATCTCAGCTCACTACAACCTCCATCTCCTGCAATCAAGTGATTCTCCTGCCTCAGCCTCCCGAGTAGTTGGGATTACAGGTGCCTGCCACCACGCCCAGCTAATTTTGGAAATTTTAGTAGAGACAGGTTTCACCATGTTGGCCAGGCTGGTCTTGAACTCAAGTGATCCACCTGCTTTGGCCTCCCAAAGTGCTGAGATTACAAGCATGAGCCACCACATCTGGCCTGTATTGTTAACGTTCATTAAAATATGTATACAGGACTCACAATTAGAGATTATATAATTGTTCATACTATCGATTTTCATAAAGGAATATTAACTTTTGAGCCATCCATATCTGATAATACTGAAGGCACCAGCCTCAGGGAAAAATATCAATGATATGGCAATGAACCCACAAAGTTACAGGCTTCAAAACCACAAAGTTCCAGGAAACATTATATTATGTTTCAGTGGTAATTTAAAAGATTCAACTTTCTGGCTTAGCATTTAATGGAAAGCTATTGCTTACATTATTCAATAAGTAAAATCTCCTGTGGTAAATGGTGGTGGCTTGGAGCTTTTGGTTATATTGTAAAAATCTAGGTAGAGATGACTGCTGCCACACTTATTCCAGGCAAATCATGCCAAGTTCTCTCCACTACCCCACGATGGAATCTACCACTACTCATCTAGTTACTTAACCTAAATTATGCAGGCAGAACTTGAAACCAACAACTGAATTCCTCTAAATACTGACTGAAAACTACAAATCTTAAAACAGAAAATCAATACCTTTGTGAAATACAGAAGCCTTGTAAAATATAAACAGTATATTAACTGTGTACTGAAATTCAACACCTTTGTAAGATATGGAAGCCTTGTAAAATACAAATGGCACTAACCATGCACTGTTTAGTAAGATTCTTTAAGCTACTGTTCCCTTCAATTAAAGTTAGTGATCAAAATAATCTTGATTTTAGAAAATGATTAATGTTGCTTATCGGTTTCTCTCTGTAATATTAGGACTTGGTCACCAACTTTTATATTTTGAGATAAAAATAAAACCTAATGCCAGTTTCTACTTTTAGAATAGCTTTTATTTCCATATAACAGAATTTTTCCATCATTACCACTTAGTCCTTATCCATATGATTAAGTCAACACATAAATAAGATCTATGAATCATCTAGATAGGGATAAAAAATAAGAGTCTGCATAATGGCCTTGATTGCTAGATCAAGTTATTCTAATTAAAAAGAATCTTGTGGTTGTTACATTGAAACTGATTTTCAATACAAATCACAGGAAAATGTAGCTACCACTATAAAAATCACTTATTTTATAAACAGAAACCTCCTGAGGCCTTATTTTTGGTTTCTTCAACATCTGCATTATTTCCATAGGATAATTATACTCAATTTAATAGAAGTACTCAGGATCAGTGGTGTTGTAAATAATTCAAAGAGTTCAAACCACTCCCCAAAATTCCTTTTGTCATTTTACTATAATAACTGATAGCTTATTATGAAAAATATCACCAGGTTACTTTTTAGACATATGAATGTGAGTTACAAGTTGAGTGAAATACACTTAATGTTTTAAGATTAAATCAATTGTTGGCCAGGCGCAGTGGCTCATGCCTATAATACCAGTACCTTGGGAGGCCAAAGTGGGCAGAACACTTGAGGCCAGGAGTTTGAGACCTGCCTAACCAACATGGTGAAACCCTGTCTCTACTAAAACTACAGTATTTTTATAGGTGTGGTGGTACACAACTGTAGTTCCAGCTACTCAGGAGGTTGAGGCACGAGAATTGCTTGAACCTGGAAGGTGGAGGTTGCAGTGAGCCGAGATCACACTATTGCACTCCAGCCTGGGAAAAAGCAAGACTCTGTCCAACTAAATAAATAAATAAAATTAATCAACTGCCAATATGCAAATTTACATTCTGTTTTTTTTTCTACAAACAAACAAACAAACATAATGGAAATTGGGTGAGGTGTTGCACGCCTGTATGGGAGGCTAAAGCAGGAGGATCTCTTGAGCCCAGGAGTTCGAGATCAGTCTCAATGACAGAGGGAGAACTCATCTCTTAAAAAAAAAAAAAAAAAAAAAAAAAAAACCCCACAAAACAACTAGAGAAATTCTGAAAGTTGAATCTTAAAAAAGGACTAACAATCATTTTAAAGGTTAACCATTCTAGAAAATCAGGCTTTTAGTCTATGTAACTAATATTTGAGTACATTATTTAATGCATGGTATATCTCATACTGATTAATAAACCAAATTATAATGTTAAATATATACCTTTATTCAATTCTCTGTATGCCTTTTATAATCATGTTCGCATGTTTCTTAGTTATATTCAAAATAGTCTCTACGGATAAGGTATGGGCAATTACTATTCCCATTTGGCAAATGGAAGAACAGGTATACAGGATGTGAAAGTGAATTGTTTATAATATCATACTGGTGAGTAGGGTCCTAGAATTGAATTAAAACTTTCTAATTTTGAATAAAAACTTCCTAACCATGGGCTTAACTTTTTCCATTGTTTTGCCTTTACACACACCAGTTACTTTATAACAATTTAAATACATTGGGCAAACTTTAGGTAAATCCTTAGTTTCTTATAGTAGGCCATTTTCTATCTCATCTGATTACTTCAGAACAGAATATAGATACACTTTTCATTTTTTTTAAGAGACAGGGTCTAGCTCCGCCCCAGGCTGGACTACAGTCATGTGATCATGGCTTAGTGCAGCCTCGAACTCCTGGGCTTAAGTGATTGCCCCCACCCTACTTAGCCTCTAGAGTAGCTGAGACTATTTGTGTATCACCATGCCCAGCTAATTAAAACTTTTTTTTTTTTTTTTTTTTTTTTTTTTTTTTGTAGAGACAGGGTCTCATTCTGTTGTCCAGGCTGGTCTTAAATTCCTGGCCTCAAGCCATCCTCCTGCCTTGACCTCCCAAAATGCTGGGATTACAGGCATTAGTTACCATGCTCAGCCTCAGATGTACTCTTTAGTGGTAAGACTAACCCTCTAAATCATAGTAGTGGTACTATGGGGGTTTACATTTTCTTTCTTTTTTTTTTTTCAGCCACGATTGGAAAATAATTATCTTTACTTTTAACGTAACCACTGTAGGCAAAATTTAGCTCTTTAGTAATATGCCCAGGATGAACACTGCAATAGTAGTGATGAGAGAGAAAAGTGGGGCAGTCTTACAGTCTAGTCTATCTTTGAGCTAATGAAAGATGAGGCCTGTTAAAAATGCTAGCCATACTCTATCAATTCCACTGACTATATTCCATCCAAATTCTTAGTCAAACTTCAAAATATGGATACTCTTCCACATACAGAGAAAATACTAGTCAGCTGCCATCATTTGTCATATGAATGATACAACCTATAGTTATGTTATACTCTGTTTTCCTTTAATGCAAATCTTTCCAAAGTGAAAGTTCTTGTTTAATGTACGTGTGTGCTATAAAATCACATTTATATTCAAGACTTCAAAAAACTCACCCTAGAGCCTGGAAAGAAGGAATCGAAAGTGCCCAGTGCATTGATAAGAACAGCAATCTGGAGGCAGACTCCCCAATGTAGTGCACATTCAGGTACTCAGGCATAGGAGAAGGCATGGTGAGCTAGTATGAACAGGGATTTAGGTAAATTATCTTAGGACTGAACGTTCCAGTTAGATCAAATGATAGCTAATACATTCACACAAAAAAACTAATCTTGAAATAATCCAAGTCACTAGAATTTATAGCTAATAGGGCTTAGAATAAATGAGTAGCCCACAGTTTCTAACAAAGCAATATTCAGACGAGCAGAATCTCAATAAATATCAACCATGATACTACCTGGTTATGTTACTTCCTGTCTTGGTCTAACAATATGTTTCTTTTCCTTCCCTCTCTCGATTAACAATAGCATACAACAAATTCAGTTTAAAGAGAAATCCTGTACAATAAATGTGTCTTTCATTTACGCTAAGGGGTTAACAAATTCAAATGCTTACAGGCCCAGGAGAGTACAGAGTGCAACAGCTTGCTGGTACCAACTGGGAAGAGCATATTCCCAGATAAAGGGCACAGCTGTGAATTGAATTCAGCACAACGAAAACATATGGAAGTATGGGCTCAGCACTGCCAGCTCTTTCAGTTTTTCAAAGAGCACATTCATTCTGTGTGAAATCTCCCTATTTAAAAAACCTGGCAGGCCAGGCACGGTGGCTTGTGTCTGTAATCCCAGCACTTTGGGAGGCCGAGGTGGGCGGATCACGAGGTCAAGAGATCAAGACCATCCTGGCCAACATGGTGAAACCCCGTCTTTACTAAAATACAAAAAGAAAATTAGCTGGATGTGGTGGCACACACCTGTGGTCCCAGCTACTCAGGAGGCTGAGACAGGGGAATCGCTTGAACCAGGGAGGCAGAGCTGAGATCACGCCACTGCACTCCAGCCTGGCAACAGAGCGAGACTCCATCTCAACAAGAAGCCTGGCACTAAATAAAACATTTTAAAACTTATTCTACAGGTAAGTCTGTGGACATACTACTAGCAAGTGGTCAGTTTATATTGCTGATCCAGCTCTTTAAAACGTTTGACTACTACTGTTGAAACTTTTTTCTACTTTCTAATTACTGAAATGATTGAGTGTCAAGTATAGTGAGGGTACAGAAAACCAAGTACACACTACAGAGGGTGGGGTAATCTGGAGAACAATTAAGTCTATTATCTACCAAAATTTTAAAAATAAGTACACCCAGTAATACCACTTCTAAATCTCTGTTCCAGCAAAATACTTGCACAATGCACAAAAAAGCATGGGTAAGGATGTCCATTACAGCTCTACATCTAACAATGAAATTAAATGCTGGCAACAACCCAAATTTCTATCACTAGAGAAAAGAATAATCCATGCTATGGAATATATGTGGGCATTAAAATTAGAAAGATAAATTGTGATGTAATGGCATACAAAAAAAAAATCTCACAGGCAGTAGCTTTGAAACTGGGTAATGGTCAAAGCAAATAAAAGACAAAATTTTAAGAAAAAAAGTCTCACAGACATCCAAGTAGAAAAAACTGTAAAACAGTATGTATTAAAATAGATGACCCAATTTATGTTAAAGGATATGTATATATGTATACCTAAAAAGTACAGAAGGAAACATGCCACACAGTTAACAGTGGGCTACCTCTGGGGTGGGGTGGACGTGCCCATATGTATTTTTGTGGGGAATGACTATTATAGCTTTCAGCAGATTCTCAAAGATAACTTTTTTTTTTTTGAGACCTAGTCTTGCTCTGTCACCCACACTGGAGTGCAGTGGCTCGATCTCAGCTCACTGCAACCTCTGCCTCCTGGGTTCAAGCGATTCTCCTTCCTCAGGCTCCTGAGTAGCTGGGACTACAGGCGTGGGCCACCATGCCTGGCCAATTTTTTTGTATTTTTAGTAGAGATGAGGTCTTACCACATTGGCCAGCTTGGTCTCAAACTCCTGACCTCAGGTGATCTGCCCACCATGGTCTCCTAAAATGCTGCAATTACAGGCATGAGCCACCATACCTGTCCCCTCAAAGGCATCTTCTAGCTACTAGTCTTGAGGTTTGAAACACAGTTCCATAAAAATGTAAAAACAAACAAACAAACAAACAAACCGTGCCTTTGTTCATTATTAGTCACAAATGATTTACCTATTTATAAATGGTACCAAGTAATAAAACAAAAGGGCAATTAATGGTGGAAATTCTGTAACTGAAAAGAAAATTTTTCATGTATTTAAGAATGTTTGGCTCACACCTGTAATTCTAGCACTTTAAGAGGCCAAGGTAAGAGGATTTCTTGAGGCCAGTAGTTCAAGACCAGCCTGGGCAACATAACGAGACCCACTTCTACAAAACAAAACAAAACACAACACAACACAACACAACAAAAATTTTAGCCAAGGGTGATGGCTCAGGCCTGTATACCAGCAACTCAGGAGGCTGAGGTGGAAAGGCTGCTTGAGCCTAGGATTTTGAGACCAACCTGGGAAACAGCAAGACCCCATCTCTAAAAATAGAAGAAATTAGCTAGGCATGGTGGTGTGTACCTATAGTCCCAGTTACTTAGCAGACCGAGGCAGAAGGATCCCTTGAGCCCAGCAGGTCAAGGTTGCAGTGAGCCAGGACTGTGCCACTCAATTCCAGCCTGGGTGACAGAGCAAGATCGAATCTTAAAAAACAAAATGTGGCCGGGTGCGGTGGCTCAAGCCTGTAATCAGCACTTTGGGAGGCCAAGGCAGGTGGATCATGAGGTCAAGAAATCGAGACCATCCTGGCCAACATAGTGAAACCCCGTCTCTACTAAAAATACAAAAAATTAGCTGGGCATGGTGGCGTGTGCCTGTAATCCCAGCTACTCAGGAAGCTGAGGCAGGAGATTTGCCTGAACCCAGGAGGCGGAGGTTGCTGTGAGCCGAGATTGCGCCATTGCACTCCAGCCTGGGTAACAAGAGTGAAACTCCGTCTCAAAACAAAAACAAAAACAAAATGTATCCTATCTTTTCAGGATTACCCAAGGTGAATAAAAGGAAAGTCTGAAAAATTAGGGGAAATACCAAAAATTACTAATTTCGGGGAAGGTGCAATTAAGACACAAAACAACAACAAAAAAATCCTTTGCAGGCCGGGCGCGGTGGCTCAAGCCTGTAATCCCAGCACTTTGGGAGGCCGAGGCGGGTGGATCACGAGGTCAAGAGATCGAGACCATCCCGGTCAACATAGTAAAACCCCGTCTCTACTAAAAATACAAAAAATTAGCTGGGCATAGTGGCACGTGCCTGTAATCCCAGCTACTCGGGAGGCTGAGGCAGGAGAATTGCCTGAACCCAGGAGGCGGAGGTTGCGGTGAGCCGAGATCGCGCCATTGCACTCCAGCCTGGGTAACAAGAGCGAAGCTCTGTCTCAAAAAAAAAAAAAAAAAAAAAAAAAAAATCCTTTGCAGGGCCAGGTGTGGTGGCTCAGGCCTGTAATTCCAGCACTTTGGGAGGCCAAGGCAGGCAGATCACTTGAGGTCAGGAGTTCAAGACCAGCCTGCCAACATGGTAAAACCCCATCTCTATTAAAAATACAAAAAGTTATCCAGGCGTGGTGGCGCATGCCTGTAATCCCAGCTACTCGGGAGGCTGAGGCACGAGAACAGCTGCAATCTGGGAGGTGGAGCTTGCAGTGATCCAAGATCGCACTACTATACTCCAGCCTGGGAGACAGAGCAAGACTCTGTCTAAAAATTAAAAAAAAAAAAAGACTTCTGCAAAATACTTTATAATTACATTTAAATAAAATATTAATACTTGAAATGTATAAACACTGGATATAAAGGTTCTGATTACACAATACTGGTGGTAACTCTGAAAACTTTCTGCTACATTTAATCATAAAATGGAAATAGTTTACAATACACACTAAAGGGACTCGTTATTTAAAATACTACACCATATTGGGTTTACAGTGAAATGTTTGATAATCTGTTTTACATACTTAATAAAACTCTAGTATTTTGAATTAGAAAGCTAACGCTGGCTGAAGAAACAATAGTCCATTTAACAAGTCTTTGAAACTAAAAAGACAAAGATTTCTTCCTATCTTACAGAGAGACTGACCTTCCCCAAAATTCTTGTGGATCTTTAGGTTTATAAAATGAATTATATACATTTTTCAAATTACAAAAGTTCAATATATTGAACTGAATTTTTTAAGAGTGTTGACAACAACTAAACCTGATCAATCTATTTTAGAAGTTATTACTTGCCTCTACAATGATCTTTCAGCAGTTTCTGTATTGAAATCTGGTAACAGCCTGCTCAATACAGCCTTTAAAAAAATCACTGGATGGCCGGGTGCGACGGCTCACGCCTATAATCCCAGCACTTTGTGAGGCCAAGGTGGGCGGATCACTGGAGCTCATGAGTTTGAGACCAGCCTGGGCAACATGATGAAACCTTATTAAACCTATTAAAAAATACAAAAATCAGCTGGGAGTGGTGGTGCATGCCTGTAGTCTCAGCTACTCGGGAGGCTGGGGTAGGAGGATGGCTTGAGTCTGGAAGACAGAAGTCGCAGTGAGCCGAGATCCTGCCACTGCACTCCAGCCTGGGTTATAGAGCCAGTCTGTCTTTAAAAAAAAAAAAAAAATTTCCTTGAAGGCTTAGCACAAGCACAGTGGCTCAGGCCTAAAATCCCAGCACTTTGGGAGGTCGAGGTGGGAGGATCATTGCTTGTGGCCAGGAGTTTGAGACCAGCCCCCGCATAGTGAAACCCCAATCTCCAGACACATACAAAAAAAATCATTTGAGTTAGGAGATCTGGATTCTACTCCCAACTTTTCATTAATCACTTCCCCTAATTACCAGTATGACTCTAGATTACACATTCATTCAGTAGCTATTTACTGAGAGTTCACTGGGAGCAAGTGCTATTATCTCAGTGGAAGAATAAAAACTGAATGAGCTATAGAAAGGGCTAAGAAAGGCAATGGCATGTGTGAGAAACATGGGCAGCTGGATCAGAACACGGAGGGCCCTAAAAGGTCAAATTATAGAGACTGGACTTCATTTTATAACATATGGGCAATGGGAAGCCACTGAAGGCTGATAAGTAGCAAAATGACATAATTTGATTTTTAATAAATATAACACTGGTACCAGCACACAGGAAGAAATGGAAAAGAAAGACCGGAAGTAAAGGTATTAGGGTAACAAATCAAGAAAGGAATTTAAAAAGGCCTAAAATATGGTGAAGGAAATGAAGAAGAAGGCAGAAATGCAAGCAAAAGAATGGTTAAAATTCTGTTATGTAACAAGAGGAGCGAAGCTTAAGAATGATTGTCTCCAAAGTTGCAAACATGGGTGACCAAAAAGACTGATTCTAATATTAAGATTAAACATTTTAGAAGTAAGTATATGCAATTTCCAAAACCATCTCACTTCTGTTGCATATACATAATTTCTAACATGGAAATATGATCTACTGTAATTATTCTAAGGAGATTTTAAGAATCAAGTGAAATAAGGTACATGAAATCATACCAAAAATTCTGAAGCTTAATAAAAATCTTTTTTTCTTCTGTCTTGATCAAGTTTTATATATATATGTGTGTTTATTTATTTTTGGGATGGAGTCTCACACTGTCACCCAGGCTGTAGTGCAGTGGCACAATCTTGGCTCACTGCAATCTCTGCCCTCTGAGTTCAAGCAATTCTCCTTCCTCAGCCCAGGAGGCCGAGTAGCTGGGACTACATGCATGCGCCACCACATCCAGCTAATTTTTTTTGTATTTTTCGTAGAGACAGGGTTTCACCATGTTGGCCAGGATGGTCTCGATTTCCTGACCTCGTGATTTGCCCATCTTGGCCTCCCAAAGTGCTGAGATTACAGGAGTGAACCACCTCACCTGGATTTTTTGTTTCGTTTTGTTTTTTTGAGATGGAGTCTCATTCTGTTGGTTAGGCTGGAGTGTAGCAGTGTGATCCTGACTCACTTGCAACCTCCACCTCCCAGTTCAAGCAATTCTCCCGCCTCAGCCTCCTGAGTAGCTGGGGTTATAGGCATGTGTCATTAAGCATGGCTAATTTTTGTATTTTTAGTAAACATGAGGTTTTGTCATGTTGGCCAGGCTGGTCTCAAACACCTGACCTCAGGTGATCTCCCCTTGCAGGCCTCCCAAAGTGTTAGGATTACAGGTGTGAGCCACCATACCCAGCCAATAAAAATCTTAAATATTACTATTGCCCTTGATTTTTCAAAATCAAACTTCAAGCTTCATTATTAGATGATTTCTCCTTATTACCAAGATTGCTTTGAACAAGACACTAAAAATCTCTAAATCTCTCTCTTCAGCTCCAAAATGAGAATAAAAATTCTATCCCTGCCAGGTGTAGTGGGTCATGCTTGTAATCCCAGCACTTCAGGAGGCCGAGAGGATTGCTTGAGGCCAGGAATATGAGACCAACTTGGGCAACAGAGTGAGATCCTATCTCTACAAATAATTTTTTTTTAATTAGCTGGGTGTGGTGGCATATACCTGTGGTCTCGGCTACATTAGAGGCTGAAGCAGGAGGATCCCTTGAGCCCAGGAGGTTGAGTCGGCAGTGAGCTGTGATTATGCCACTAAACTTCTGTCTCAAAAAGAAAAAATTAAAAATTCTAACCTCAACAGATGTGGTAAGGCTCAAAGGAAAGAGTGTATGTGAAAACAGGCTGCAAACTACAGTGTACGTAGAAATGCAACAGTGGAACAAAATGTTATTCAGCTCAGCAAGTAAGAGAAGACTGAGTGGTTTGATTACAGATGTAAGGTCTTGAAACCCATGACAAGAAAACTTCAATGTGAGAACCATGAAATTATCAGACTCTAGCAGCTAAGCAGGGAAATCACTAAAAAGTAAAAGATTTGACTTCACAAGGCTCTAAGACTCCCAAGAAAGATGGAGCAGTCCTTTTCAGGAGAGTAAGAAAATTTGTAAGTGCTGACTGTGCAGATAGGAAGACAAAATGGAATGACAAAGCCAATCCTAGAAAGAAAAAAAAAGTTCTAATTTGCCAAATTCTTCTGTCCAAAACATTTCAAGACATCAAAAACTTTGAGGACCAACATCAACAATAAACAGGTAAACTACCCCTACTTTCTAAAGAGCACTCTGTCATTTTCCCTCACAATGGGTCCTGTTCCTACATCTCATTTCATCCTTCCTCCCATTTAAATCCAAAGCAGAACATAAACCTAAGAAAACAAAAGAATGTTTTTTAATTAGAATAAGGAAGAACAATGGGAAAAATCAAGTTTTCCCTTGCTCTACCCTTGTCCATAAATCTTACCGTAATTTTTTAGAATGACATTAAGTTTTCCTGTAGAATGTAAAAAAATTTTGTAATTTTTTCCAGGTAAATTTTCTTTGGTAAAATTTTACATAAAAATTTCTTCACTGATCTATTTTATTGACTACATCAAATTATACTATTATAAGCCACTGAGTTTTCTCTGTGGCTATTTCTATCAAGGTGAATTTTATAAATACTAATATTACTTTGTACTCACAATTTCTACTAATGATACACTATTTATTTGATAGCTGTACATCTTCTCCTAAGAAATCCATGGACTTTTATAATCTATAGTAAAAGTATCAGCCGTCACCCTCAGGCATTCCAGGACTGCTATATATTGCTAAGTGAAATCTATATGGATTCAATCCCTTTGCATACATCTTGCTAACAGAATCCTTAGCTAAGTGGTTAAAATGGAGGAGTCAAAACAATACAATCTTAATGTGGGGTCTCCACAGTGAGCATGTCCATAACTCTATCCAAGCATTATTGAATGACAAATCAAATAGTAGAAAGTGATTTTCTAGTCTTCTACATGTATTATTTCTAGTTTTCTGCATGTATTGTTTCTGTCACAATTAGGTTGGTACAGAAGTAATTGCAATTGTTGCCATTATTTTTAGGGGTACAAAACAAATCACAAATGTACCTGCTCCAAAATGGCTAAAAAGTGCAAGTTAAAAACTAAAAGTTAAAATGTATTAAACGATTTGTATATTTAAAATTTTTAATTTATTATGTAATTTTTATTTATAATAGAGACGAGGTCTTGGCATGTTGCAGAGGCCAGTCTCAAACTCCTGGGCTTAAGCAATCCTCTGGCCTCAGCCTCCCAAAGTACTGGGATAACAAGTGGGGCCCGCTGCACCTAGTCAATTTGTATCTTATAATAATGCTGAAAGCCAGCTAATTAGGGTGATATGTAACAAATGGAGTCTTTGCAGTTAATATGGTAAGAGCAAAATATCTGGGTCTTAATGGATTTACTATAAAATAGTAGCTAGGCATTGAACAAAAGCAACACATGCAAAAGGCCTTAGCCTCCTGCATAGGTGTGCACTAACATGCCTAGCTTATTTAGTATCTTGATAAACAGAAAACCCGAAGAAATTTTGTTTCTATATCTAGATGAGTATGGTTTTTTTGTTTTGTTTTTATTGAGATGGAGTTTTGCTCTTGTTGCCCAGGCTGGAGTACAATGGCATGATCTCGGCTTACCGCAACCTGTATCTCCCCCGGGTTTAAGCCATTCTCCTGCCTCAGCCTCCCGAGGAGCTGGGATTGCAGGCATGTGCCACTGTGCCCGGCTAATTTTGTATTTTTAGTAGAGACAGGATTTCTCCATGTTGGTCAGGCTAGTCTCGAACTCCTGACCTCAAGTGATCTGCCAGCCTCAGACTCCAAAAGTGCTGGGATTACTGGCATGAGCCACCACACCCGGCCCAGATGAGTATGTTTTAGCTGCTGTTTTGAAATTCTATCAGGGATATTTCTGACTTTAAAAGCACAACAAAACATACTTTAATTTTTGAAAGGTGGATCAAAATCAAGCAACACATCATACAAATTAAAAAAACATATAGAAATACCCTGAAAGCTACATGTGAATCGCTGAGAAGTGGCCCCTCTTTTTCGGTATAATTTATGCTTGATTCTCCAGGAATGAGGCGTACACTTCCTTCCATGCACACTACTGAGCTCTGGCAGGCTGTGCTCTCTCCAGGATTCAATGCTTTTGCAAGAGTGTCAAATGCCCTGTAAGAGACATCAGAAGCTGTGAGCTTGACCAAACACCACAATAAAATAACAATTCCATACAGGATTCAAGAATTAAGATTTAAGGCTAAAAAACTGGCCAGGCTGGTCTAGAACTTCTGACCTCAAGTGATATTCCTGCCTCAGCCTTCTAAAGTGCGGGGATTACAGGCACGAACCACCACGCCCGGCCTGAGTAGCTGGGAATATAGGCATGCGCCAACACACCCAGCTAATTTTTTAAATTTTAGTGGAGATGGGGTTTCACTATGTTGGCCAAGCTGGTCTTGACCTCCTGACCTCAGGTGGTTCACCCACCTCGGCCTCCCAAAGTGGTAGCATTACAGGGTTCACCCATCACGCCTGGCCAAATCAGTATATATTTATCACTATCTTTTTTTTTCTCTTAGAGATGGGGTCTAGTTGCTGGTTGACTCAAACTCCCAGGCTGAAGTGATCTTCCTGCCTCAGCCTCCTGAACAAATAATGTGTTCAGCTTATTCAATATTTTAGATGATAAACGTAGTGTGGGAAAAGCCTGAAGAAATTGTTTCTATATCCTAAGCATTAATATTTACAGAATGAAAAACAATTCTGGGGCCGGGCGCGGTGGCTCAAGCCTGTAATCCCAGCACTTTGGGAGGCCGAGGCGGGTGGATCACAAGGTCAAGAGATCGAGACCATCCTGGTCAACAAGGTGAAACCCCGTCTCTACTAAAAATACAAAAAGTTAGCTGGGCATGGTGGTGCGTGCCTGTAATCCCAGCTACTGAGGAGGCTGAGGCAGGAGAATTGCCTGAACCCAGGAGGCGGAGGTTGCTGTGAGCCAAGATCGCACCATTGCACTCCAGCCTGGGTAACAAGAGCGAAACTCCGTCTCAAAAAAAAAGAAAAGAATAACAATTCTGATACTACTTTCTTCAAGTGTAACTTAAAACTGAATATTAATGTAAAACACTTAGTTGGTTAAACTAATATTACAACTCAGTTGGTTGAACTAAGTCTTTTACATTAATTTTCATCACTAGAAATTGAAAAGCAGGATCAACATGATTGTGTAGAAAGACAAATGTTTCACTCTTCACACACCTTTATCTTTAGAAGAAAAAAATTCCTAAATTTTAAGACTACATTTCTAATCTTATAATATTCACTTACTGATTTTGTTACTTAGAATATAACTTTTCATACTTGAATGTAGGTTTTCAGTTAAAACTTACCATGCCTTGAATTTTCTAAGTGAAAACAGAAATGTAGGTTGAGCATTCCTAATAATAAAACCCAAAACGCTCTAAATTCAGAAACTTTTTGAGCACCAATATGATGCCACAAGTGGAAATTTCATACCTGATCTCTCATAATGGATTCAGTCAAAATGCAGGTGCATAACAGTATATTTAGTGCTTATTCCCTGTCCCCAAGGGAAAAAAGACCAGCTGAGATAAAGTATTTTCTGCACACGCCCAGATTCCCCCAAGCAAGCACGCCCACTAAGGATAATAAAATGGCATGTGTTCGGCCCAGGCATGCCAATGGCAGGTTCCCAGATTCCCCACAAGGAGCTAAAACCTACGTGCATTACTCACTGGTTTTTTTTTTTTTTTTTTTTTTTGGGCATATTCTCTTCTCTGTGTTATAAAAATATTTTTGAAAAGGTCAGAAAGGCATGCATGATACCCAGAGTAATGCAAACGTTCCAAAATCTGAAACCTGAAACATTTTTGGTCTGAACAAAGCATTTCGGATAAGGGATAATCAACCTGTATTTGTTTTCTGAAACTTCTATAAATAGAATTTGAGACAAAAATATTTTTAAGAAATATTGAGCCGGGCGCGGTGGCTCAAGCCTGTAATCCCAGCACTTTGGGAGGCTGAGGCGGGTGGATCACAAGGTCAAGAGATCGAGACCATCCTGGTCAACATGGTGAAACCCCGTCTCTACTAAAAATACAAAAAATTAGCTGGGCATGGTGGCGCGTGCCTGTAATCCCAGCTACTGAGGAGGCTGAGGCAGGAGAATTGCCTGAACCCAGGAGGCGGAGGTTGCGGTGAGCCGAGATCGTGCCATTGCACTCCAGCCTGGGTAACAGGAGTGAAACTCCGTCTCAAAAAAAAAAAAGAAATATTGAAAGACATGTAAACCAAAGGGTACTGATAATCAAAAGAAACCTTACCTTGAAACATCACCGTTGGTCTGCATTTCTTGAAATTCACACAAAGAGGTATCATCATTGCTTACGTTTTCAATCATAGACATTTCATTATTATTTTGAGAAAGATCTTTAGTTTTTCCAAGATTTGCTAATGATGTAACCACACTGGCCAATGTGCTTAAATCTCCCTGACATGATTCAGCCTTTAAAAAAAAAGGGTATTAAAATTCTGTGAATTGGTTATCAGTATTTTTTTCAACCTGAAATATCCAATTACAGATTATGATATGCCAAAAGAAAAGAACGGTATGATAAATTATCCTGGAAAGTTAAAGGGCTCTGAGCTCTCAGAAATTTCTTGAGGAAAATACAAGTTTAAAAACATCAGGTGTATTTCATAAGAAATGTTTATATGTTACTTTTTTTTTTTTTCTTAATGGGACAAGATCACACTCTGTCACCCAGACTGGAGTAGTGGCAGGAACACAGCTCACTGCATCCTCAAATTTCTGGGCTCACGTGATCCTCCTGCCTTAGCCTTCTGAGCAGCTAAGACTGCAAGTGTGTTCTGCTATAACTGGCTTTTTTTTTTTTTTTTTTTTTTTTTTTTTTTTTCCATTTTTAGAGATGGGGTCTTGCTGTGTTGCCCAGGCTGGTCTTCAACTCCTGGCCTCAAGTGATCCTCCCTGCCTCAGCCTCCTGAGTACAATTTCTAAAACTTACCATATAGACTATAAACTTGTATGGAATGTACAGAATACTAGTGAAAAGTAGGGGAAATAGGGAAAATGAATTGTTGAACAGACTTCCTAGGATGCCAACGTTTGCCAGACACTGTGTTAATTATATGTGTTAAAAGGCAATATGTTAAACACAAAAATTAAAAGAAATAGATCAGTTATCCATTATTCCATCATTCTCTTCACTTTTTTTGTTACTGGAGTTGAAAATTCTTCTCTTTACATAGGTAAGACACTGATTTTTTGTTAAACATGACATACTTTCGATTTGTCTTTTTTTTTTTTCTTGAAACAGTCTCATCCTGTCACCTGGGCTGGAGTACAGTGGTGTGATCTCAGCTCACTGCAACCTCCACCTCCTGGGTTCGAGTAATCCTTCTACCTATGCCTCCTCACTACAGGTGCATACCACCATGTCCAGGTAATTTTTGTATTGTTTGTAGAGATGGGGTGTCATCATGTTGCCCAGGCTGGTCTAAACTCCTGGGCTCAAGTGAGCCACCTGCCACAGCCTTCCAAAATGTTGGGATTACAGACATGAGCCACCATGCCTGGTTTGTCTCCATTTTGTAATGTTTGTTGAAAATGTATACATTATTTGTGCATTAGCTACAATTCTTTTATAAAAAAGAATTTTCTCTAAACTCTTTCACAACCCAGAATTATAATTTGTATAGGAAAGGAAGGTACTTTATTTTTCTTTTAGTTATCAATTTTCAGAGCAAGAAGTTGATACCCTAGCCATTTCTAATTGTGATAGATGAGTTTTTCTGAGTATAATTTTTAATTCACAGGTTTTCATCTATTTGATGTTTTTTATATTTGATTTAAATATGTTTAATTCTTTTGTAAATCCTTTTCCATCCTAACCTAAGGAGAAGCCTTTTAAGTTGCCTTCTATGGCCTACTGACACAAGCCCTTAGTGATAAACTTTTTGATTAATAGTTTCTTCACGGTTTTTTTTAGTGTTCGTAATCCTAAAATAACACATACATTTCCATGTTTCATTTACTGTAGCAATTCCTCAATTTATGTGAGATTTATTTTGGTGAAGCAGTAGAAAAAAACAATGTTTGTGCTCTCCCCAAATTAATCAATGGTCCAAAAATAATTTACTGGAAACCCTACCAGTTACCAAGTTCTTACAGAATTAATACCTATATATGCATTTTATGTAACCCCCTTGGACCTCTATGAAACAGAAATCATCATTCCTCTATTGCCAACCAGAAGAATGATCCAAATAGTAGTGGGAGGACTGTCTGACTGCAAAAGTCTATGCCTTTTTTTTTAATTATTATTTTTTAAGAGACAGTGTTTTTTAGGGACACTTCTATTGCCTAGATGAGAGTACAGTGGCAGGATCATAGCTCACTGCAGCCTTGAACTCCTAGATCAGGCGTCCCCAAACTATGGCCCGCGGGTCGCATGCGAACCCCTAAGGCCATTTATCCGGCCCCCGCCGCACTTCAGGAAGGGGCACCTCTTTCATTGGTGGTCAGCGAGAGGAGCACAGTATGTGGCGGTCCTCCAATGGTCTGAGGGACAGTGAACTGGTCCCCTGTGTAAAAAGTTTGGGGACGCCTGTCCTAGACTCAAGTAATCTTCTGTCTTGGCCTCCCAAATAGCTGGGACTAGAGGCATGTACCACCATGCCTGGCTAATTTTATTATTTCTAGAGACAGGGTCTCGCTATTTCCCAGGCTGGTCTCAAATTCCTAGCCTCAAGGAACTCTTCAACTTGAGCCTCCCAAGTTGCTGGGATAGACTTGAGCCACTGTGCCCAGAAAAGCCCACAATGTTAAGCTCTGCTCCAAGCAGTTTTCCTATATTTGAATGAAAAGTACGTCAGATACAATTTTTAAATGCTTTACTATTCACCTAAAACTTAGAAGCTTATATATTCTCTCATCTAGCAACATATCTTACTAGATTCTTAAGTTTTTGCTCCAAAGGCTCTTAGCCAACATGGAAAAATTTCATCTTGTGACTTCACAGTTTTGAGGCCATTTGTCAGAGAAGCTTACATAAGGTTGTCATAACAATTTAATACAAAGATATATAAGAGAGCACAGTGTCTGGGCAGAGTAGTTTGTCAACAAAACCTAGTTCCCTTCCTTCCCTAAAGGAGTTGATATGTCAATAAAACCAAGTATCACTCTAACCTTGAATAATGTAAACAAGGCTAATCATGTAGACAGGGCTAAGTTTTCCAAAATACATGGCAAGAGGCCAAATGCCTCACCTAGCAATTACATGCTAACGCCCAATCTGTAAGATAGATACTCTTTTTTATTTATTTTTATTTTTTAAAGACGGAGTTTCACCATGTTGATCAGGCTGGTCTTGAACTCCCGACCTCAGGTGATCCGCCCGCCTTGGCCTCCAAAATGCTAGGTGTGAGCCACCACGCCCAGCTGAGCATTTCTAATTTATGTTAAAAATTCCACATTACATTAGTTGGGCGTGGTGGCGCGTGCCTGTAATCCCAGCTACTCAGGAGGCTGAGACAGGAGAATTGCCTGAACCCAGGAGGCGGAGGTTGCGGTGAGCCGAGCCGAGATCGTGCCATTGCACTCCAGCCTGGGTAACAAGAGCGAAACTCTGTCTCAAAAAAAAAAAAAAAAAAAATTTCCACATTACAAGGTACCTTTTTTTTTTTTTTTTTTAAAGAACAAAGCAATTGACCAAAGCAATGAAAGCAATTAGAAAACATTTTTAAAAGCTTAAAAATATTGAAGCTTTAAGTTGTACTAAACTTACCTTATCTGATGTCATCAGCACAGTTGACTCAGTTTTTACTCCAGATGGATGAATATTCACAAACATTCCTGAATCTAACAGTCCTGTTGACCTATGACAAATACGAACACATTTTAGCCTGAGTTTCGTTGGGAAGAAAAACAAAATGACCAGCTACTCAGTGTCTGTTTTACTTCACCTTGTAGTTTCACTATCTGTTACAAAAGTTGGAGTTGCAGTTAATGGGCTACGAAGGTCTTTTCGGATATAGATTTTTTCTGTTGAAGCAGCACAGTTGGAAGATTTTTCTCGTGATACTTCAATGGGTTTTCTTTCACATTGGACAGCTACAAAAATGTGTTAAACTATTACATCACAATATAGGATTTACAGGCAATTATAAATGTAAGCTGTAGGTAAGCTTAATGCTGCTAATAGGAGACATTCCTATCATACTAAACTCCAAAGATAACCATCAATCTCTAGAAAATTCTGTGGAAGTTCAACAGAGGTGCTTTAGATTAGTAAAACTAGCTGATTTGCATCACTCATTCTCTTTTCTCTCCCTGCGCCCCATTCCTGTGATAGAAATGTAAAGGAACTCTTATTTTTTAAAAGTTCAGCATCAAGAAGAAAGAACTAAAGTTAGGAGTCACTTACCTATCTATATGAGTGCTTTAAAAAAATGAAGTGAAACTTAATCCATTGAAAATACTGAAAGGAACAAAAAAGCCTAAGTAGATCTTTTATTAACTAAGGACAGGAGATTTTTGAGAAGTAATTCAACTACTTGGTCTTTCTTTATAAAATACAATTAATACGTAACATTTATAAGAATTTTATCTCATAATATTTAGGAGATAGTATAGTAAGGTTGTTAAACTACCAGGATTCAAAACCACTTATTAGTTATATGACCTTAAGCAGTTTTCTCAACCTGTTTACTCAAATGTAAAATGGGTAACACAGTATTTACTGCAGAGAATCGCAGTGAGAGTTGTTAATACACATGATAAGCACATGTCTAGCATAGTGAGAGCTCAATCAATACTAGTTATTGTCATTATCTTACTAATCTTTAGGAGTTAAACCAAAAAGTAAACTGGTATCTGAAGCTAGTTAAGCTTTTTGCCAAACACGAACTACAAATACATGCTTGTTACACAGGAATTCAATAAATATTAGTTGAATAAAAAATACATACATATTTATGTATTCTTCTATTTTTAGTTGGAAAACCAAACTAAAAAGTATACATATTTGACATATTTTAACTTGTTAATTTCAATACTCTTCCAGTTTGCTGGAATCCTTAAAAAGTATTTTCTCCTTAAAAGCTAATACATACAGTCTTGTTTCATTCCAAACGCAATACATCTCTGTAACCTGCAGTACTGGCAGCGGTTTCGGTGATGTTTATTAATAATACAATCCTTTGATCCTCGACATGAATATACTAAATTTTTTCGGATGCTTCTTTTAAAAAATCCTTTGCAGCCTTCACAAGTTACTGCTCCATAATGACGTCCTAGAGATAAAATGTTTAAGAAAATATAAGTCACGTTATTTCAGAACAGAAATGAAATAAGCCAATTGCTCCCCTTTAAACAACATATGAGATGAAACTGATTTTTGAGCTTCTGACATGAAAAACATTTTTAGAAGTTATTTTTATTTATTGTAATTATTTTAGAGATGCTCTGCAGCCCAGACTGAAGTGCAATGCTACAATCACAGTCCAGTGCAGCCTTGAACTACTGGACTCAAGGGATTTCCCCAAGTAGCTGGGACTACAGGCTTATGCCACCATGCCCAACCAGTTTTTTTATTTAACTTTTTTTAGAGACAGTCTTACCATCTTGCCCAGGCTAGTCTCCATCCTGGGCTTAGGCGATCCTTCTTGCCTTAGCCTCCCAAAGAGAGGTTACTAAATAGAGAATGAAACAAGCATATTCTCTAATAAAAAACAAATAAATGAATTTTTAATTTTTTTTGTAGAGATGGGGTCTTGCTCTGTCACCTACGCTATAGTGCAGCGGGGCATGATCAAAACTCCCTAAATCCCTGAATTCCTGGGCTCAAGTGATACTCTTGCCTCAGCCTCCTAGTGGCTAACACTGCCATCACTACTGGCTGATTTTTTTTTTGTTTAAGAGACAGGATCTCTTTATGTTACCCCGGCAGATTTCAAACTCCGGGCCTGAAGTGATCCTTCTGCCTCCATTCCCGAAGTGCTGGGATTACAGGAATGAGCTACCTTGCCTGGCCTAATGTGAGGTATTATTAAGGATCAGAACTCATCATTTTAAAATGATTCCTTTGCCAAAACGTCTAGTTTTTACATTTAAAAAATATTTCTACAGATGGGCGTAATCCAGCCTGTAATCTATCACTTTGGGAGGACGAGGCAGGTGAATCAGTTGAAGTCAGGAGTTCAACACCAGCCTCACCAGTATGGCGAAAGCCCGTCTCTACTAAAAATATAAAAATTACCTGGGTGTGGTAGCACACGCCTGTAGTCCCAGCTACTCGGGAGGCTGAGGCAGGAGAACAGCTTGAACCCAGGAGGCAGAGGTTGCAGTGAGCCGAGGTTGCACCACTGCACTCCAGTTGGGGCAACAGAGTGAGACTCTATCTCAAAAAAAAAATTTTTGGCCGGGCACGGTGGCTCAAGCCTGTAATCCCAGCACTTTGGGAGGCCGAGGCGGGTGGATCACGAGGTCGAGAGATCGAGACCATCCTGGTCAACATGGTGAAACCCCGTCTCTACTAAAAATACAAAAAATTAGCTGGGCATGGTGGTGCGTGCCTATAATCCCAGCTACTCAGGAGGCTGAGGCAGGAGAATTGCCTGAACCCAGGAGGCGGAGGTTGCGGTGAGCCGAGATCGCGCCATTGCACTCCAGCCTGGGTAACAAGAGCGAAACTCCATCTCAAAAAAAAAAAAAAAAAAAATTTTTTTCTTTTTACATATTTACTTTCAAAAGTTAAATATGCATTTTATTTCTTTACAAATCAAATTAAACTGCACTGACGTAAAGAAAGTGAATAAAGGACTCTGGGACTGAGCATGGTGGCTCACACCTGTAATCCTAGCACTTTGGGAGGCCAAGGAAGGGTGGGTGGATCATCTGAGGTCAGGAGTTTGAGACCAGCCTGGCCAACATGGTGAAACCCCATATCTAATAAAAATACAAAAGTCAGCCAGGCATGGTGGCACACACCTGTAGTCCCAGCTACTTGGGAGGCCGAGGCAGGAGAATTGCTTGAATCCAGGAGGCAGAGGCTGCAGTGAGCTGAGATCATGACATTGCACTCCAGCTGGAACAACAGATTGAGACTCCATATCAAAATGAAAAGAACTTTGGGGAAAAAATTAGGTTAAATGTTAAAGGCTACAAATGTGAACCATAAAAATGACATACTCCTTTATTTTTCTTCTTTCATTTATTTATTTATTTTTTTAAAGACGGGGTTTCACCATATTGGTCAGGTTGGTCTTGAACTCCCAACCTCAGGTGATCCACCCACCTTGGCCTCCAAAGTGCTTGGATTACAGGCCGTGAGCCACCACACCCGGCCTTTTTTTTTTCCTTCTTACTTTTAGTAGAAGAAACATGGTAGTGTGGAAGTTATTTAAGAACACGACACATACAAGAGGTTATTTTTCTTTTTTTATTTTTAAGAGGTTATTCTTAATGTTACCTGATGCTTTGTCTCCACATACTACGCAAAGATCAAAAATCTTATTTGGTCCCTGGTCTGGAGAAGAATTATCTGTTAGGAGCTTAAAACAAAAAACAAAAAACAAAAAACCTGTTGTTACTCAACAGCACTCATTCTATTAAAAAATTAAAGAACATTCAGTTGGTTTTGCTTTGTTGCTTTTTCACAAGTTATTCTTAAACTCTGATGAAGAGCTCAGAACATTTCCACATGGAATGACATGACAAAAATATGCTTGTAATAGCATAAAAAGATAACTCTGAACTTTTTAAATAGAAATGGGGCTATAAATAAACTTCCTTGAGGTAATTATATAATCATGCCGATATAGTTGCTAAACAAAGGTACAGACTTAAAAAGCTCATCCCTAGGCGCAGCTAATAAGATACTAGCAAAGGAAATTAGCGTCTTCTTTAAAAAACAAACAAAAAGCTGGGCATGGTGGCTTACGCCAGTAATCCCAGCACTTTGGGAGGCTGAAGCTGGAGGATCACTTGAGGTCAGAAGTTTGAGACCAGTCTGGCCAATGTGGTGAAACCCCATCTCTACTAAAAATACAAAAAAATTAGCTGGCTGTGGTGGTAGACGCCTGTAATCCCAGTTACTTGGGAGACTAATGCAGGAGAATCCTTGAACCTAGGAGGCAGAGGTTGCAGTGAGCCGAGATCTCATCACTGCACTCTAGCCTGGGTTACAGAGCAAGACACCACTTCAAAATTAAAAAAAATATATAAAAAAAGCTGGGTGTGGTGGTGCATGTCTGTAGTCCCAGCTACTCTGGAGGCTGAGGCAGGAAAATTGCCTGAACCCAGGAAGTGGAGGTTGCAGTGAGCTGAGATTGTGCCACTGCACTCCGGCCTGGGAGACAGTGAGACTCCATCTCAGAAAAAAAAAAAAAAAAAAAAAAGGCCAGGCTTGGTGGCTCGCGCCTATAATCCCAGCATTTTGGAAGGCTGAGGTGGGTGGATCACAAGGTCAGGAGATCAAGATCATCCTGGCTTAGACGGTGAAACCCCGTCAAAATGAGCTGGACATGATGGCACGTGCCTGTAGTCCCAGCTACTCAGGAGGCTGAGGCAGGAGAATCGTTTGAACCTGGGTGGCAGAGGTTGCAGTGAGCCGAGATTCTGCCACTGCACTCCAGCCTGGGCAACAGAGTGAAACTCCATCTCAAAAAAAAAAAAAAAAAAAAAAAAAAAAAAAAAAAAATGCTAAATAGTTTCTTTCTTTCAACTTTTTCTTTCAATTTTGAAATTTGAACAAATAAATTCAATTTTAAAAAATGGTACGGCATTTGAATTCCTTCAGAAGTAATTCTAATTTTACAAACTTTAAATGGTCATTAGACCAGAAATCAGTTTTTGACCTAAGGGAATTCCAACCTATACCTGTTTCTCTTTCACTGCTTTTAGAGATGATCCATAAGTAGGCAAAGTGCCAATACTATCTTCATTTTTAAAATACAGAATTTTTTTTTTTAAAGAAGGAGCAACTTTTCAATGGAGAAACCTGACAAATACTACCTCAGTCGGGTGACAGAAGTCAACCTCATCAGTCATAAATCATGTTGATAGTATCTTTTATATAATGTGACAAAATGGCACTTAACTTCTGTAATCTTCCTTCCCAAAACCCATACCCCCTGTCTAATCATAAGAAGAACATCAGATAAAGTCCATTCGTGGGGCATCCTACAATATACCTGGCTAGTACTCCTCACACAACTGTCAAGGTCATCAAAAACAAGGAAAGTGAGAACTAGTCTAGCCAAGAGAAGCCAAAGGAGACAGGACAACTCAATGCGATAAGGTATCCTGAATGGGATCCTGGAACAAAAAGGGCCATCAGGCAAAAACCAAGGAATGTCTAACCACCTATAAGCTTCAGTTAATAATGTATCAATATTCCTCATTAATTGTAATAAATAGGTCATGTGAATATAAAATGTTAATAAGGGAAACTGTATTTACAAGGGGAATAATATGGGAACTCTGTACTATATGCTCAGTTTTTCTGCAAATCTAAAACTATTCTAAAAAATCAAGTCTACTAATGTAAGAAAAAGAAATTAAGGCACATATAATGTTATTAATTTTTTGTGTGACTTCTGTCTTGTTGATAAAATGAATTCTTATAAATCTATGGCCCTATCCACTTTCTACCTTTATTTCCAAAACTAATACAAATAATATCAATGGATGAATAGATGATATCAGGATAATTTTCATGTTTTATGAATTTAGTTTTTCAATCCAAAGAATAATTTTCTTTCATTTTTCATCATAAAATGTGAAACTCAATTTTAAGTAGATCCCCTTCAAAAAGTCTCTAAAAGCAAACTTCAGAGTATATCATATTGTATCCAATCATAGCAACCAGCAGTGAAAACATCTACATAACCACAGGCATGTGGTGCATAAAACTTTTTGGGTCTTTGAAGAATAATGTATAATTTTCTGTTCTAGCAAAAAGTAAAATGGTATAATGTTAACCCTATACTACCACGTTCCAGAGTAAAGCAGGAGACCATGACTAGACTGCTTGCCATGTCACGGAGATATGTATGACAACAAAGGAAGCACAATGCTGAAGCCAGCAGCTATAGTCCAAACTTCTTGATCTGGCAGCTTCCTGTTTGCGGCACAGGCAGCTTGCTTGTGGAAAATACAGCTACAAAAGCTGCTCCTGACTTGACCATTTCCTAATTATGCAGAAGTAGGAGGTCTCTTAGAAGTGAATTTTGCAGCATGCTCCAGTATTCTTGAAAACCTGGCCTAGAACTGTTTCTTCAGCCTTCCTAACAATTCTGCAAGCTCTCTATACCTTTTATTAAAGGCGTTCCTGGCTACATCAGCCAGGGTGGATCTTACTGTATGCAACAAAGAATCTCCCAAAATATATGAGTGTGAGGGAAGTACAGTGGCCCATAGGAGAGGGCTGTCACTGTAGATACTCTGTGCTACACACAGTTTTATGCATTTTTTTTTTCCTACTGAATATACATATATCTGAAGTATTCATGGCAGGACATATGCTTAAAATAATTTCTTTAAAAAAATTTTTTTCTATTTAAAAAAATTTTTTTCTAAAAAACAATTTTTTTAAAGAAATTGTTTTAAGCATAAGACACTTTAGACACTTGTAAGAGAAAAAGACACTTGTTACCTGCAGGTGTTGTGCAGACAGATCAGGAGTGGTAAAAAATAACTGGTTGACACCTGCTGGATCTGGAGTTGTGAGAAAAACTTTTCCTGGAGTGGCATCTTGCCTGGCCAGAATGACTTTGTTTGGAGAAGAGCCGTCATGATTTGTCAGAATAAACTGCTTGCCTTGGGTATTATGATCAAGTGCTGTCACAATCTGTATTTTCTGCCCAGTTTGCTGCTCTGTAACAATCTAACAAAATTATAAAAAATAAATAATGAATTCAAGTCAATCATTTGTTTCTCTCTAATGACACAATAATCTTCTATCTTTAAAGACAAAAAAGCACATCATTACATATACAGTCAATGTAACAAACACATGTACCTTTTTTTAAAATCTTTTTTTTTACAGACTACAGCAGAATATACACATATCTTTTAAACTACCAATTCCACTGCCACAAAATTCTATCATACGAAAATAAACAAATGTGCAAACAAACAAAGGTACAAGAGTAAGAATATGTTGACCTATTTTGATTCCCTCCTTCCCCTTCCCTCCCACGTTCCATTTAGCCAAATATATATCGGTAATTTCTATTGGCTGTTCTGCATCCTGGGAGGTAGCAGTGAATAAAAAACACTATTTTTGCCTTCATGAAGCTTTTACTTTAGTAGAAAAAGATAGTAAATAAGGAAACAATAATATTGCAGGTGGTACTAAATGCTATGAAGAAAAACAAAGTAAGGTGAGACAATATCAGAACAAGGGCATCGTTTTTGCACAGACGTGAGTGAAGAAACGGAACAAGGCTTAGGACTACTTAGGGGAAGAACATTCCAAGTAGAGGAAACAGAGCATAAAAGTAGGTCCCAGGGGAGGAGGGAGGGTGTTTGACACATGAAGCACAAAGCACAGCAATAGAGCAGTATGAGGTAGAAAGAAGGGAAGATAGGAATTATAGATGGGATCTGAGTGACAGCTGGGACTTAGAGGGCTTTGTAGGCCATAAAAAAGACCTACTGTGTGAAATGGAGAGCCACCAGAGGTTTTGGAGCAGAGGAAATACTTTTTAAAAAAGAATCAGCCAGACACAGTAGCATGTCTCTATAACCCCAGCTACTTGGGAGGCTGAGGCAGGAGGATCACTTGAGGCCAGGAGTTAAGAGACCAGCCTCGACAACAGAGTGAGATCCTGTTTCAAAAAAAGAAAGTGTAGGCCAGGCGTAGTGGCTCACGCCTGTAATCTCAGCACTTTGGGAGGCCGAGGTGGGTGGATCACTTGAGGTCAGGAGTTCGAAAGCAGCCTGTCCAACATGGCAAAACCCTGTCTCTACTAAAAACACAAAAAATTAGCCGGGCATGGTGGTGCATGCCTGTAATCCCAGCTACTCGGGAGGCTGAGGCAGGAGAATCTCTTGAACCTGGGAGGCGGAGGTTGTAGTGAGCCAAGATCGTGCCACTGCACTCCAGCCTGGGCAACAAGAGCAAAACTCCATCTCAAAAAAAAAAAAAAAAAAAAGTGTAGAAAGGTACTCTAAATTTATTGTGAAGAACAGACTGCAAATGTTCAAGAGTAGGCTGGGCACCGTGGCTCACGCTTGTAATCCCAGCACTTGGGGAGGCTGAGGCAGGTGGATCCCTTGAAGTCAGGAGTTCGAGAACAGATGGCCAACAGGATGAAACCCCATATCTACTAAAATATAAAAATTAGCTGGCCGGGCGCGGTGGCTCAATCCTGTAATCCCAGCACTTTGGGAGGCCGAGGCAGGTGGATCACGAGGTCGAGAGATCGAGACCATCTGGTCAACATGGTGAAACCCCATCTCTACTAAAAATACAAAAAACTAGCTGGGCATGGTGGCGCGTGCCTGTAATCCCAGCTACTTAGGAGACTGAGGCAGGAGAATTGCCTGAGCCCAGGAGGCGGAGGTTGCGGTGAGCCGAGACCCGCGCCATTGCACTCCAGCCTGGGTAACAAGAGCGAAACTCCGTCTCAAAAAAAAAAAAAAAAAAATTAGCTGGGCATGGTGGTGGGTGCCTGTAGTCCCAGCAACTGAGGAGGGTGAAGCAGGAGAATCGCTTGAATCTGGAAGGCAGAGGTTGTAGTGAGCTGGGATCATGCCACTACACTGTAGCCTGGGGGATAGAGCAGGTCTGTCTCAAGAAAAAAAAAAAAAATGTTCAGGAGCAAAATTAAGGGAGATCAGAAAGGACACTACTGCAGATACCATCAGTATCTGGTTATGATATATGGGCAGAAATACTGGCCAGGAACAGAGTAGGGGCCATGCTGGGGGTGAAAAACCAATTATATTGGGATTTTTTTTTTTTTATTTTTAAGAGAGAGGTAACAAAATGTGCTGACGGACTGGAGTGGAACGTGAAGAAAGAAGAGTCAAGGGGCTGGACACAGTGGCTCACAACTGTAATCCCAGCACTTTGGGAGGCCCAGATGGGCAGACTGCCTGAGGTCAAGAGTTTGAGACCAGTCTGGCCAACATTGTACAACTCCATCTCTACTAAAAATACACAAAAAAAGCCAGGTGCAGTTGGTCACGCCTATAATCCCAGCACATTGGGAGGCCAAGGCGGGTGGATCACCTGATGTCAGGAGTTTGAGACCAGCCTTGGTCGGGCATGGTGAAATCCCACCTTGATTGAAAATACAAAAGTTAGTGGGACATGGTGGTGGGCGCCTGTAGTCTCAGCTACTTGGGAGGCTGAGGCACAAGAATCACTTGAACTCGGAAGGCAGAAGTTGCAGTAATCCAAGATCATGCCACTGCACTCCAGCCTGGACGACAGTGAGATTCTGTCTCAAAAAGAAAGAAAAAAAAATTTGCTGGGCATGGTGGCACATGCCTGTAATCCCAGCTACTCAGGAGGCTGAGGCAAGGGAATTACTTGAACCAGGGAGGTAACAGTTGCAGGGAGCAGAGAATGAGCCACTACACTCCAGTCTGGGCGACAGAGCAAGACTCTGTCTCAAAAAAATAAAAAAAATAAAGAAAGAAAATTAGAGTCAAAGATGACTACAAAATTTTGGCTTGAGCAGTTGGGAGGCCAGAACTGCCATCTGCCAAGATGGGGTAGTCTGGGGAGGAGCAAATTCAAGAATATAGAGAACTATTTAAGCATTGAGAGTTTCTGGTATTCAGCAAATATATTCCAGAGTAAACTTCATTAGGCCAATTAAATTCCTTGATTCAATTTTGAAATGGCAAAGCTGGTTTATAATTTTTCATAATTCCAATCCTTTCTTCTGTACCAAACTTTTTATATTTTTATTTTCCTGAAATTATTTCAATATTCTTTTTTTTTTTTTGAGACGGAGTTTCGCTCTTGTTACCCAGGCTGGAGTGCAATGGCGCAATCTCGGCTCACCGCAACCTCCGCCTCCTGGGCTCAGGCAATTCTCCTGCCTCAGCCTCCTGAGTAGCTGGGATTATAGGCACGTGCCACCATGCCCAGCTAATTTTTTGTATTTTTAGTAGAGACGGGGTTTCACCATGTTGACCAGGACGGTGTCGATCTCTCGACCTCGTGATCCACCTGCCTCGGCCTCCCAAAGTGCTGGGATTACAGGCTTGAGCCACTGCGCCCGGCTCAATATTCTTTTCTATGCAAAATTTAAAACGAAGCTCTGATTCACTAATCGGTTTCTTTCTAAAGCAAACTGTATGGAATAAAAGACTAATAGTTCACACTGTCTTAGAGAAGAGCACTTGGCACATCCGTGGTCTAACTGTTCCTGGGTTGAAACATTCTGCTTAAATGAGGAAAAGGACATTTACTGCAGCATGATAATTATAATAATTGAATATTTAAGCAATCCAAAGAGCCTTCAATAGGGAAGCGCAGTAGATTATGGAAACAGTTCCTGGGTTTTAGGACCCCTTTACATTCTAAAATATTACTGAGGGTTCTGAAGAGTTTTTTTTTTTTTTTTTTTTTTTGAGACAGAGTTTCACACTTGTTGCTGAGGCTGGAGTGCAATGGTGCGATCTCGGCTCACTGCAACCTCTACCTCCCAGGTTCAAGCGATTCTCCTGCCTCAGCCTCCTGAGTAGCTAGCATTACAGGCGCCTGCCACCACATACAGCTAATTATTTGTATTTTTAGTAGAGATGGGATTTTCTGCATGTGAGCTATATCTACTGATACTTAACATATTCGAAATTCAAAGAGAATTTTTTAAAACACTTGATTCATTTAAAATTAACAACCCACTAAATGTTAACATAATTTTTATTTATTTGTTTTTAATTTTCATGGGTACATAGTAAGTATATTATCATCTTTGGGGTATATGAGGTAAGTTTCGATACAGGCAGGCAGTATGTAATAATCACATGGGCAATATGGCATCCGTCTCCTCAAGCATTTATCCTGTATGTTAAAAATTATCCAATTATACTTTCTTAGCTATTTTTTTTTTTTTTTGAGACGGAGTTTCGCTCTTGTTACCCAGGCTGGAGTGCAATGGCGCGATCTTGGCTCACCGCAACCTCCGCCTCCTGGGTTCAGGCAATTCTCCTGCCTCAGCCTCCTGAGTAGCTGGGATTACAGGCACGAGCCACCATGCCCAGCTAATTTTTTGTATTTTTAGTAGAGACGGGGTTTCACCATGTTGACCAGGATGGTCTCGATCTCTCGACCTCATGATCCACCCGCCTCGGCCTCCCAAAGTGCTGGGATTACAGGCTTGAGCCACCGCGCCTGACCTCTTAGCTATTTTTAAATGTACAATTAAATTATTATTGGCCGGGCTCAGTGGCTCATACCTGTAATCCCAGCACTTTGGGAAGCCGTGGCATGGGGATCACAAGGTCAGGAGTTCAAGACCACCCTGGCCAACATGGTGAAACCCTGTCTCTACTAAAAATACAAAAAATTAGCTGGGTGTGGTGGCAGGCACCTGTAATCCCAGCTACTCAGGAGGCTGAGGCAGTAGAATCGCTTCAACCTGGGAGGATGAGATTGCAGTGAGCAGAGACTGTGCCACTACCCTCCAGCCTGGGCAACAGAGCGAGACTCCGTCTAAAAATAAAAATTAAAAAAATCCAAGCTTGCAACAATAAAAAAATGAATAAAGTTTTACAATAACTTTTAATAAAAATAAAAATAATAAATAAATAAATATTGAATATGGTCACTGTTGTGCTATCAAATACTAGGTTTTATTCATTCATCCTATTTTTTTGGTACTCATTATAACCTATTTCTTAATGACTAATAAGTTTATTTTCCAAACAAAAATGTAAAGAATGGCATTGTTTTATATTTCTGCAAATTGCTTGAATGCCTGCTTTAATAGAATTTAGAATCTCCTATCTGTTTCTCCTTTTAATCCGTTGAACTACGTTGTTTTGATTATAATGAGGCTGGGCACAGTATCTCATGTCTTTAATTCAGGCACTTTGGAAGGCCAAGGTGGTGGACTGCTTGAGCCCAGGAGTTCCAGACCGGCTTGGGCAACATGGCAAAATCGCATCACTATGAATTATAAACATCAGTCAGGCATGTGACCACAAAAAATTAGTTGGAAATATGTTTCTTCCCTATATATACATATACATACATTCATGTATGTATATATGGTGAAGAAAATTCAGCTTCCTATTTATTGGTTGAAAAGGGGAAGGATATTTTAATACCCTTTTCAAACTGTGAAAGTTGTTCTTCAATACTACAACTACTCGTCAAGTGGCGGCTTTTCAAAGGTTAGCTGCAAGGTAGAGTCACAAACTATATTAAAACCTGTTGGCCTATCCTGCAATTTAAATGGATCCTTCACTCATGTATGGTTTTCTAACATTATACATTGGTCATCTGGAAAACAATGATTCAGTGATGATGAACACCTTATAAATGTTGATATATTTCATCATATAGTATCATCACATGTCACACAGTCTGTAGAAAATTCCATGTAGGCTGGGGATGGTGGCTCATGCCTGTAATCCCAGCACTTTGGGAAGCTGAAGTGGGCAGATCACCTGAGGTTGGGAGTTCAAGACCAGCCTGACCAACACAGAGAAACCCCATCTCTACTAAAAATACAAAATTAGCCAGGAGTAGTGGTGCATGCCTGTAATTTCAGCTACTTGGGAGGCTGAGGCAGGAGAATCACCTGGTCCCGGAAGGCAAAGGTTGCTGTGAGCCGAGACTGCGCCACTGCACTCCAGCCTCCAGCGTGGATAACAAGAGTGAAATATCGTCTCAAAAAAAAAAAAAAAGGAAAGAAAATTCCAGTGTATACTTGGGAGAGAACAACACTGAAAAGGCAAATAATATTTTAGTATTATTATGAAAATGGTCTTTACCTGGCTGATTCTCTGAAAGGGTCCCCAGATGATATTTTGAGAACTTCCAGATTACATGTATCTCTTATTAATAGGCCATAACCATTAAAAAATAAAAAGATGTCTGTATTGACACTGAACTCCTACTGATCCCACCAAAATTGGCCTCAGGTTGCACCCTCGAAAAAGCATTCCTTCCAAAAGCATTCCTACTCACTCCACAACCCTGTGACTTCCTTCCTTCCTTCCTTTCAATTGTTTTGCTTCTGTGCTCCCACAGCACCAGATACAATGACCTGTCACAGCACTTACTACATTCTACTATAAATTGTCTGATTATTCAACTATCTCTCAGTAGCTTGAAAAGCTATCTTAAGTTAGGGAATATCTTTTATTTCTGGAACTCTAGAATCTGGCATATGCATTTAGTATGAATTATAAAAGTTTGGGGTGTCTGGATAAACTGCAAACTAGACATACCTCTCCCATCTGTTGTTCAATAATTTGATGTGCAATTTCTTCTATGGTTGCCATGATCAACTGCCAAAATGTCCTGCCAAAAATAAAAAAGATGCTTTTTTATAATTATACTCATAAAAACACTTTTATTAAATAATTTACAAACAAAATTATATGATATTTAAGAATCTGCTTCAAAATAATCTAGTTGGGATGGGAGGGTTGGCATTTTCCGAAGTTTCCCAAAGTGTTGGAATTATAGGCACGAGCCACCACGCCCAGCCCTCCATCTGTCTTTTTTTTGTTTTTTTCAGAGTCTCACTCTGTCGCCCAGGCTGGAGTGCAGTGGCGTGATCTTGGCTTACCGCAACCTGTGCCTCCCAGGATCAAGCAATTCTCCTGCCTCTACTTCCCCAGTAGCTGGGACTACATGCACACGCCACCACGCCCAGCTAATTTTTCTTGTATTTTAATTTTGTAGACATGGGGTTTCACCGTGTTAGCCAGGATGGTCTTGATCTCCTGACCTTGTGATCGGCCCATCTCAGCCTCCCAAAGTGCTGTGATTACAGGCGTGAGCCACTGCGCCCGGCCCCATGTGTCATTATATGGCACTCTGAGTGCCTGTGTCATACTCTCTTCATAGAAGAACATCAGTTTATTTTGGATTAGGGCACACTCTAATTTTAACTCAATTATCTTTTAAGGCCTTATCTCCAACTATACTCAATTCTGAAGTACTGGTGGTTAGTACATCAACATAGGAATTTGGGATTCACATGACTTTGTGGGAGAACACAATTCAGCCCATAACACTCAGCATAAACCCAGTAAGAAACATGCAAGATCTAGGTAGGCAAAGAAAACTTTAAAATGCTGCCTAAAGACAAGAAAATCTACACTTGGGCCGGTCCCGGTGGTTCACATCTGTATTCCCAGCACTATGGGAGGCCAAGGTGGGCTGATCACTTGAGATCTGGGGTTCAAAACCAGCCTGGCTAACATGGTAAAACTTCATCTCTACTAAAAATACAGAAACTAGATGGTCATGGCAGCCAGTGCTCTTAATCTCAGCTACTCAGGAGGCTGAGGTAGAAGAATCCCTTGAACTTGGAAGGCGGTGATTGCAGTGAGCCAAGATCACACCACTGCACTCCAGCCTGAGTGACAGAATGAGACTCTGTCTCAAAAAAAAGAAAAACTACACCTTAAAGGACACGTAAGAAAAAAAAATGGTTCCAATAACTACCTCCAAGGAAAGAAAATGCAAGTTTGGGAACAGGAATGGGAGGGAGACTTATTTTTCATTGAGTAAGTGTTTCGTCCTTTAAAATTTTACTTAAATACAAATATTACCACAAAAATTAAATAAAAAATAATTTAAGAAATCTTTCCCAGAAATCCTAAAATCCATATCAGTGTATTGGTGCATTAGACTCAAAGAAGAAACCGCATAATGAAAACTTGAGTAGATAAACTATTGGTGTATCTGAATGAAATCCAGGGAATCACTAGATCAATATATAATCATGTATTGCATGATGTTTTAGTCAATGAATGAGACTGCATATACAATAGTGGTACACAAGATTACACCCACAATACTGTATTTTTACTGTACCTCTTCTATGTTTAGATGTTTTACTTACACAGTATTAAAACCGCTACAGAATTCAGTAAGATGCTGTGTGGGTTTGTACATTAGGAGCAACAGGCTACACTGTATAGCATGGGTGTATGGTACGCTATACCATCTAGTTTTGTATGCTCTATGATGTTCGTATGTGATGAAATCACTTACGGATGCATTTCTCAGAACACGTCCTCATCACACATGACTATACATGTTCCAAAGATAAGGCAACACACACATTCTGGTTTTTTTTTGAGATGGAATTTCGCTCTTGTTGCCCAGGCTAAAGTGCAATGGCATGATCTTGGCTCACTGTAACCTCCAGGTTCAAGCAATTCTCCTGCCTCAGCCTCCAGAGTAGCTGGGATTATAGGCATGCACCATCATGCCCACCTAATTTTTGTATTTTTAGTAAAGAAAGGGTTTTACCATATTGGCCAGGCTGGTCTTGAACTCTTGACCTGAAGTGATCTGCCCACCTTGGCCTCCCAAAGTGCTGAGATTACAGGCATGCGCCACCACACCCAGCCAACACACACATTCTTTATAGAATGCTGGTAGAAGGTTAGATTTTTTTTTAACCTTCCTAGAAGAGTAATTTGCCAATGTGTACCAAGAGCCTTAAAAATGGTCATATTCGTTGGCTCAATAATTTATTCAATTTTCTTCCATTCAGCAATTACTTCTGAGTGCTTACTATGGGCTAGGCATTCACAAAATGACTTACAGAACTGAATCACATCCTTATTCTCCAGCTTCAGACCATCAATGCTACTTTAACGGCAAAGGGACAAAGGTTTAACCCCTTTCCTTGGTATTCATTCAATATTTATTATGTATTCGCAAGGTGTCTGGCACTGTGAACACAAGGGTGAGTTCTTTTCTAATCCTACTTCCCCCTATCCTCATCTCATTTACCGTCACTTCCAAGAGGGGGCCTAGGTTCAGGTCAAACTCTGATGTTCTTTATTCCCCAACATATTCCTATTTTCTCCCTCATTTAAATTCGTCTAACTTTTTTTTTTTTTTTTTTTGAGACAGAGTCTGGCTCTGTCGCCCAGGCTAGAGTGATAGCGGCAACATCTCAGCTCACTGCAACCTCTGCCTCCCGGGGGGTTCAAGTGACTCTCCTCCCTCAGCGTCCCAAGTAGCTGCAATTAAAGACGCCAGCCACCAGGCCCAGCTAATTTTTTTATTTTTAGTAGAGATGGGGTTTCGCCATCTTGGCCAGGCTGGTCTCGAACTCCTGACCTCGTGATCCACCTGCCTCGGCCTCCCAAAGTGCTGGAATTACAGGCATGAGCCACCACGTCCGGCCCACCTGACCTTTAAGATTTGGTTTAAGCCGGATGCTCATGTCTGTAATTCCAACACTTTGGGAGGCTGAGGCACATGGATCACCTGAGGTCAGGAGTTCCCAAGACAAGCATGGCATGGTGAAACCCCATCTCTACAAAAAATACAAAGAATTAGCCAGGCATGGTGGTCGTCGCCTGTAATCCCAGCTCAGGAGGCTGAGGCAGGAGCATTGCTTCAACTCGGGAGGCGGAGGCTGCAGTGAGCCGAGATCGCACCACTGCACTCCAGCCTGGGCAACAACGAAAGGCCATGTCAAAAAAAAAAAAAAAAAAAAAAAAAAAAAAATTGGTTCAAATAGTTTTTTAACCCAGTCTTTCTTGAAGGGTTCAGCATTTATTGTGTAGACTAAGGCTGTTAACTAGGATTCAGAAACAGATTCTGTTAACTCCTAATATTGTATGTAAAATTTTATCTAAAGGTGCATTTTTTCTAGAAACAGTTCGTAAAGACTTTAAGAGGATGCAAATGCTCTTGTAACTGAAAAAAGGCAATGAATTGTATTTATACTATTATTTATTGAATGTTTTAGTTCCCCAAGAGCAAGGATTATACGCTGTGTGGCAGACACACAGAATTCGGGAATGTTTGCTCCCTCAAAATCTTTCCTTAAGATACCTGTTAAGGCTGGGTGCGGCGGCTGAAGCCTGTAATCCCAGTACTTTGGGAGGCCGAGGCGGGTGGATCACAAGGTCGAGAGATCGAGACCATCCTGGTCAACATGGTGAAACCCCGTCTCTACTAAAGATACAAAAAATTAGCTGGGCATGGTGGCGCGTGCTTGTAATCCCAGCTACTCAGGAGGCTGAGGCAGGAGAACTGCCTGAACCCAGGAGGCGGAGGTTGCGGTGAGCCGAGATCGCGCCATTGCACTCTAGCCCGGGCAACAAGAGCGAAACTCCGTCTCAAAAAAAAAAAAAAGACGCCTGTAAATTCCAGCTACTCAACAGGCTGAGGCAGGAGGACAGCTTGAGGCCAGAGATTAGTCTGGACAACGAAATAGGACCACCACCATTTCTATAAAACAAAACAAAAAACCTTTCCTAGAAGAAACTAACACGCCCCTTGAAAAACTAAGACTAGCAGCATTTCATGTGACCCACTCTCGATGACAGAAATACACATCACTTTTTCCGATTTACTAACTGGACTTAGACAAAGTTTAAAAACAATCGAGTATCATCAACCACACAGCAGAAATGGTTCAAAAAGCCCTCAAAATTGAAGGTCTATTTAGAACTTCTAGATATATAAAAACCCTAAAGGCCTTAATTTTAGGTCTTCTGCTTTTCCTTTCCTGTTACTTGTTTAAAGGCTGACCTACTTACTGAAGATTATGGGACAACTTGGCAACGTTCACACTGCACAAAAATGGTATCTGCACGAGCTGGAGGAAGAATTTCTTAACAAAAGAGCTACCGGAAGCTTGGACGTGCTCAGTGCAGTGAGGACACTGGGCCGTTTCACTTCTTGTAAGATCCAGGTCTGCAGGCAGCGACGACCCTGGTCCGATTCGTCGTGGAAAAGTGAAAGTGGAGGGCGTCATTCTGTCCGTCCCTTGCAGGCAAGAGAGTTAGGCACGGGATGCAGGCTGGGGCTTGCGGTCCCCAGCCGAGGGTCGGCCTCCCACTGGTCCCACCGGTGCCCGCTTTCGCCATGCGCCTTTTAGGCCCCGGCGCGGCTCCCCGGGGCGGGGAAAACAGCGGCGCCGCGGAAGCTTTCCCCGCAGGTTAAAGGTCAGAGGCGCTGCGGCGAGGGCCGCAGGAGAGGCGGCTGTGTGCGCCGAGCCCTCGGCGTCCGGCCCCGCGTCCCGCCGCCCGCGCCTCCCCCGCGGCCCCGGATGCATCCGGCGCCACAGCTCCGGGCTCCCAGCCCAACCCGAACACCCTCAAAGCGGCATTCCCAGACCGAACAGCGCCGCCGGCTGGAGTGCGCAGCCCGCGGGATGCGCTGGGACTGAGTCGGTTGGCGGTTGGGGTGAAGGGCACCCCCTCATCCCTACCCCCGGCGCGGTCGCCGGTGTTCCCACCTAGCGTTTCTTACCGGCGCCTCTGCGCCGCGCTGTCTCCTGCGTCGGGCGCCGACGCGACAGTCTCGCGGCTGCCACTGCTGGATGGGGGGCACTCCGTCCGGGAAGAGAGGTTGGAGGAAGCTGACGGGAACGGCGGGAATCCAGAATCACCGAGAAGGGAGCTTGCTGGGTTTGTGTGCTGGGGCAGGTCAGAGTTCGTGACCCCTCGCTCTGCTCGGCGGTGCGCGATCCCGCCTGCGCCTGCGCATTAGCGACGGGGAGAAGCGGCGAGAGGAGGTCGTGACGTTCCCAGGGTGGGGTGAAGGGATCAGAGGGCCGCATCGTGGCTCTCTGAGTCCACTGCCCCCTCTTGGCTTGGAGGTAGAGTGCCCCGCCAGAGCTGCGCGTTACCAGCGAGGTATTTTTTTGAAGCCACCTGCAAAGGTTTAAGCTCATATGCCCAGGGTGGGCATTAGGGAAAATTTTGAGTCAATGTTTCAGATTTGTGTAATAAATAACCCTCTGGGTCTTAGGCATATCTGTTTCTAATTTCTGGAAAACTGGGCTCTGGGTAGATTCCAATCACATTTAAACTTTATAATGACAAGCTTGAGGCCGACTCATCTGGTAAGGCAAAGTTTCACTTACAAACTATTGTGAGTAAAGAGATGTAATGGCTAAACGGGGCAAGAATATAATCACTAGACAACGGGCACGGTAGCTCACGCCTGTAATCCCAGCAAGTTGGGAGGCAGAGGTGGACGGATCACTTGAGCCCAGGAGTTCGAGTCCAGCCTGGCCAATATGGCGAAACACCGTCTCTACAAAACAATTAGCAGGCCCTGCTAGTGCATGCCTGTCATCCCAATTACTTGGAGGCTGAGGGGGAAGTATCACCTGAATCCAAGAGGTCAAGACTGCAGTGAGCCAAGATCACACCACTGCACTCCAGCCTGGATGACAGAATGTTTCTCTCTCTCTCTCTCTCTCTGTGTGTGTGTGTGTGTGTGTGTGTGTGTGTGTGTGTGTTCGTGTTCGTGTGTTCGTTCCTCAACGGCTGGTTTTTGGCTGTTTTGCTCAGGGTGTATTACCAAACACATAGGACAATGCCTGCTAGTTGGATTTATGAAATGAGAACTGGGCAAGGTGGCTGCTGGGAGGCCAAGGCAGGATCACTTGGGGCCAGCATTTGGAGGCCAGCTTGGGCAAGATAACAAAACCCTGCCTCTACATTTTTTCTTTTTAAATTGTGAAATGAAGAAACATTAGTGGTACATCACTTTCTGATGGTTGCTACCTGTAGCAGCAAGGGATGACAAGAGTAACTGCCCTGTGTGCACAGTATTCTGTGCTTTAGATTTTGAAGCATTCTTGAATTTTTTTTTTTTTTTAAATATTTAGTCTCCTTTGTTTTACCATGAAATTTCTGTTTTACCTTGCTTAGGTCGGCACTGTAGGAAAGCAGCCACAGACAGGGCAGAAATCAAAGGAAGGAAAAATAAACGTTTGCTGGGAATGAGAATATCTCATTCCCAGCAACCGTTTCTCTCTGGAACTAGGCAGATGGACAGGGATCAAGGCATGAAATTCCCTAACAAGTAAAAATATGCTTTCTCCCTCATTAAAAATTGACCTCTGCCGAGCATAGTGGCTCCTGCCCCCAGAGCTTTGGGAGGCCAAGGCAGGAGGCTTGCTTGATGCCAGAGGTTTGAGACCCACCTGGGCAACATAGTGAGACTTCATCTCTTTAAAACAAATAAAAATAAAAGCTAGCCAGGCATGGTGCTGCAGGACTGTAGTCCTAGTTACTGAGGAGGCCGAGGTGGGGGGATTGCTTGAGCCCAGAAGTCTGGTCCAGTGTTCACACCATTGCATTCCATCCTGGGCAAGAGTGACTCTGTGCTTTAAAAAAAAAAAAAAAAAAGTCCACCTCTACCTTTTAGCATTATTTGTTGTATGTTTGGTTTGGTTTTAAGGGAGACCCCCTGCCAGTACCCATAAGCTGGTCCCAAAGGTGAAAATTATGAAAGTATAGTCACATCAGGGACATGTCCTGAGATACGAGTCCTTAGGTGATTTCATTAAGTACGTACGCTCATCATGGAGCATACTTACCCAAGCCTAGATGGTCTAGCCTAGACACACCTAGGCTGTATGTTGTAGTCTGTATTGCTGTTAGGTCACAACCCCAGGACAAACCTGTACACAGCATGTTACTGTGCTGAATACTGGATGTAGTCATAACACAATGGTAGGTATTTGTGCATCAGATACATAAACATAAAAAAGTACAGCACGTCCTTTAGAAAAATAAATATAAGAAAAAAAGTGCAGTAAAAACAGGGGTTTATAATCTTATGCAACCATTGTTGTGTATGTGGTCTGTCCTTGACTGAAATATTGTTGTGCAGGGCATGACTACACTGAAGGCCCAATGGAAACAGGCAATCTGAGACCTCTTCTCTATTCTTGGTGCAGAATATGTATGCCTGTAGTGATGGTTGTGGTCACCCCTTGTCACACAGTTAGTTCACCAAGTCACAATAAGTTGACTTGTTAAAACTTGAAAGTAGAAGCCATTTGAGGAACATCATTTGTAGGCGAAGAAATGTTTCCATTAATTATGCTTCGGGAAAAGAAGTAAATGAAGTTCATTTTTATTTTTGAGATGGAGTGTCATTCTGTTGCCCAGGCTGGAGTGAAGTGGTGTGATCTTGGCTCACTGCAACCTCTGCCTCCTGGGTTCAAGTGATCCTCATGCCTCAGCCTCCCAAATAGCTGGGATTACAGGCCTACACACCAGCCTGGCAACAGCGAGACCGTCTTGGGGGTAGAAGGGAGGGGACCATCACACCAGCCGAAGAAATTATAGTAAATTTATTTTGTATAAATATAATACATATGAACATTATTTACAATGCTAATTTTTATTTATAAAGTATATATGGACAATAAGATACAAACTGTTATCACTTTAAGTACAAAGTATTTCTAGAAATACATAATAAGTCATTTAGAAAAAAATGGTATTTCAAGATTGGTTCTTACATGCCATGACCAACTCATATAAAAGAGCAAGTTGCTCTCCCTTCATCCCTTCCCCTAACCCCAAACGAAAAGGAATTTGATATTTAGGCTTTAAAAAAATTTCCTACTACCTTTATCTTTAAAAAAAAAAAATCCTCCTCAAAACAATGATCTCTTTTAAGGGAAAATGTCATAAATAAGATTTTCCTTTAGAAGATGAAAGTGGCATAAGCCCCAGAATGATACGTGTATTAGAGACACTTCAAAAAAAAAAAAAAAAAAAAGGGTGCATGGGTGGTTCAGTGGTAGAATTCTCGCCTGCCACACAGGAGGCCCGGGTTTGATTCCCAGCCCATGCAGTGCGACGTCCCATTGGCCGGGTGCGGTGACTCACGCCTGTAATCCTAGCACTTCGGGAGGCTGAGGTGGGTGGATCACCTGAGGTCAGGAGTTCAAGACCTGCCTGGCCATCATGGTGAAACCCCATCTTTTAAAAAAAAAAAAAAAAAAAAAGGGAACAACAAAATCAGAAGGGACTCATAGGAAGGAATTTAATTCAGCAAATACTGGGTGTCCACTGCTTCCAAGGCACTCTGCCAGATGCTGTGGGGAAATCTCGAATAAGTTGTCTTTAGGGACAGATGGTTCCACACAAAAGCTTATGAACTAAAGACTGTGTGGGAGCTACAGGAAGGAGACAGGATCTAGTCTGGAGGAACAGGGGAGAGAAAGACTATGGGGCAGTTATCACAGAAAAGTCTTAGATAAACAGAGATTCGAATTGGGTGACTGAAGAAAAAAAGGAAACTATGTCAACAGAGAAAGACGTTGGGTCAGAGTTAGCTGGAGTGTATGACAACTGAGGAAGTGTTCATGCCAAGCCACTGGGAAAGCCACTAAAACATGAGGACCTGGGGATGAAACTAGATTAGAGCTACATTGTTCAAAGATTGCTCTGGCAGTGTTTAAAATGGGACCACACAAAGGCATTGGAATTAGATGTTACTGCCAACACAGGAACAAGTAACAAGAACTTGAAACAGGGCCTATGTAGTAACAGCAAGGCGATGAGGATGGGAAGGATACAAGAGTAATTGCAGTCTGTTGAGAGTTGGAGGCAGATTCTGGAGCCTCAGATGGTATCTTTCTCTTACAGAAGAAAACAAACAGGTTTGAATGGGAAGAAAGTTGAGTTTTACTCATGTAAAGTCCGAGATGTTTGAGGACTCCTATAGATAACCATAGGTAGTTGCAAATGTGCCTTTGCAGGACAGGCGTAAGATCTAGGTTACAATGTGGATATTTAGGGACTCTGTTGGAGTTGTTGATGACAAGAATCCTGTCCTTTCTTCTATTCAATTGAACACATATTCTCTCCTGAAAGACCCAGGAAGCCAGGCCTGGTGGTCCCAGCTACTCCAGAGGCTGAGGTGGGAGGACTGATTGCTTGAGTCCAGGCATCTGAGTCAGCCTGGGCAACATAGTGAGACCCAGTCTCTTAAAAACTAAAAAGACCTAGGGCAGTATTATGGAAGAAACTGATATATTAAGTACAGTATCTGCCTTCAAGGAATGTGCAGTACAATAAGAAAACAGAATATATATCTCTGGAAATCCCATTAACTACATTTGACTAAAATGGAACTCAAACTTTTCAAAAGCTGAACACAATGTAAGCACACTTCAAAACATACCAACATATGCTGTGATAAAACATTTACATTTAACTAAATTACCAAATAGGAGACTTTCCCCACATCTAGATATATTCTATGAACCAAATATAAAATATGCATTTGGCTGACAATTATACTTTAAAACTGTCGCCTTCTCTTTGTTGTGTCATTACAGCATTCATGTAAATCAAGGATTGTTCTGATGATCTCATTTTAAGAAATGCTACTAAACCAAAGAATTAAGCATCTTGGGAAACCAAAAGACAATGGGGGATGCTGGGTATATTACAGAAAAGGGGAAAAGAGATTGGAAAGAGGTTTAGAACGTGGATGACAGCAGAGATAAATGCTCTCATTTTCTTAGGACTCTGGTGGGTCCTGTACATTTATAGCTGCCACAGATAAAGGTGGACTATGAGTTGGAGACACTCACTAAGAATGCCAGCCTTCCACTGGGTCAGCGTGGTGTCTCATCTGCGTTATGCTTAGCACTGTTTTAAGCTTAGCTTTATAAATGCCCTCTCTCCTCATGAATTTAAAGGAGACACCTGAAAAAGGGTTTGCTGGAAGCACAGGCACACACATCTGTATAATAAATATAGTACTTTAGGGATCTATATACTAATTACACTTTTCTCCCCATTCATAGATTGCACCTAGTATCATTTTTACCTCTAAATATTAGCTATCAAAAGATATTTTTATAGTTTTTTTTTTACAATAAATTGTATATAATTAGGTTCTTAGTTGACACTGAATGAGCCAGGTTAAATAAATGATAATTGATCAGCTTTAGTAAGTTATGAAGGACTGATAAAAGGGCAGGGGAATGTAACACCCATCCACATTTAAAACATCTTTTTGGAAGAATGATAATTGGATAGCTTCCACAAAGACTAAACATTCTTCTAAACCCTCCGTGGGGATATGCCAATTGCTAATACAGTCACATGCATTTTACATGTAATTAAAGGGACTGTTAGTTTGTGCCAGGTTTCTTCCCTCTCAAACTTTTTTTATTTGAGACGGAATCTTGCTCTGTCACCAGGTTGGAGTGCAGTGGCATGATCTCAGCTTACTGCAACCTCCGCCTCCTGGGTTCAAGTGATTCTCCTGCCTCGGCCTCCTGAGTAGCTGCAACTACAGGCACACACCACCATACCCAGCTGATCTTTGTATTTTTAGTAAAGACGGGGTTTCACCATGTTGGCCAGGATGGTCTCGATCTCTTGACCTCATGATCTGCCTGCCTCAGCCTCCCAAAGTGCCGGGATTACAGGTGTGAGCCACCATGTGCGGCCCCTTTACAGGGGAACCCCTGGGATTACAGGTGTGAGCCACCACGTGCGGCCCCCTGACTCTCTTCAGACTCAGAAATGGTTCATGATTCAGCCAGGTCTTGCAAAATAGAACAGCCTGGCTGATATTTTTTAGATTCCAAGGCTTGAGCCAAACCTTGTAGTCAGAAGGCTGAGAACTCAAGAGGAGGGAAAGAAAACCCAAATAACTTGTCTTGCTAAATGCCAGACTGCAGCAGAAGGAAATACTTTATAGGGTACAATTTTGGCCTCCAAAAAGAATACATTAAAAACTGCAAGGATTTTTTTTTTTTTTTTTTTTTTTTTTTTTTTTTTTTTTTTTGAGACGGAGTTTCGCTCTTGTTGCCCAGGCTCGAGTGCAATGGCACGATCTCGGCTCACCGCAAACTCCGCCTCCTGGGTTCAAGCAATTCTCCTGCCTCAGCCTCCTGAGTAGCTGGGATTACAGGCACACACCACCATGCCCAGCTAATGTTTGGTATTTTTAGTAGAGACAGGGTTTCACCATGTTGACCAGGATGGTCTCGATCTCTCGACCTCGTGATCCGCCCGCCTCAGCCTCCCAAAGTGCTGGGATTACAGGCTTGAGCCACCGCACCCGGCTGAAACTGCAAGGATTTTTAACATGGAAGCCTTACTTATGTGATCTTTATATAAATTAAGTGAGCTACAAAGAAATTGTAGTGTACCTGCTATGACAGAAAGACTTAGGACATGGCATGTTAGGATTGTGTAGGAGGTTGCAACACATTTAAAATGACTCCATGGCAAAAAAACAAACAAACAAACAAACAAACAAAACAAAAATAGCCACAAAAAACTACAGCAGCCAACTCTTGATCTAGTAGGGACTCTGGTGCTGCACCAAAGAGCATTCAAAACGCCCCAGAAAGGCACTCAGTAATCTTAGTGACTGCTGTTAAGGATCACACTGAATTAGGAAATCCTTTATTTAGAAGCAGAAAGGAAAACTCTATACCCTTTAAAGAATATTATTTGAATAACCTTGCTGTTTACTTATTTTTCTTTTCTTTTCTTTTTGAGATGGAGTCTCACTCTATCGCCCAGGCTGAAGTGCAGTAGCACCATCTCGGCTCACTGCAACCTTCGCCTCCTGGGTTCCAGCAATTCTCCTGTCTCAGCTTCCCGAGTAGCTGGGACTACAGGTACGTGCCACCATGTCCAACTAATTTTTGTATTTTTAGTAGAGATGGGGCTTCACCATATTGGCCAGGCTGGTCTCAAACTCCTGACCTCAGGTGATCCACTGGCCTCAGCCTCCCAAAATGGCTGGGATAACAGGCATGAGTCACCACTCATGGCCATTAAGATAATTTATAGTTTAAACTTAGTTAATAAATTGTATATTGTGAACTTCAGGAATGGCTGTATCACAATGTTATTTCATTTTCTTCTGCTCATCAACAGTTTTATGTACAAGGTAGTTCATATGTTAAACAGTAAGTGCACAGAATTATGAATCTAAATCTTTCCTAAGGAGGTGTGCTGACAGCTGCTTAAAGAGAGAAAGGATTTTTTTTTTTTTTAAATTACGAGGGAGGATATTACAAAGTGATAGAAAAAGACCTTTTGAAAATGAATACTATAGAATTTCAGTTATTACTGGCTTAGAATGGTGCTTTTCTGATATAGTAATTCCAGTTCCATTTGTAAAGCACAATATTTTTAGAAATGTAACATTACTTTTAGATGCAAATACTATCACTGGCTTGGGCTCGGAACTCTTATAATAGCAGGGGATATTATGTAGCATAATGCTATATTTTGCTATTTTAAAAATGATACATTTATGTTTGTTTTGAAATGGTAGATTTTTTTTTTTAAAGACTGGACTTAAAAGCCAAAAGAGTTGCTTATTTGTGCTATTCTGCAAATAAAACCATTTTCATTCTGACTCACAGTTTTAAAAAATTCAGATTTGCTATAATTCTTTGATGATGTAATATTAACTCTTGCCAAAGAGGTACCTAACAATAGAAATACTTTAGGTAATTTGCTGAAATTTCAGTTCATAGTTACTGAGGTAGAAGCTGGCCATATTTTTCCACTAAAAGATACAAAAATTCACCCAAGTTTATTGATTCAAAGGAATGCATTTTTTTCATCAGCAGTTTTATAATAATCACAATTCCTAAACCAAGCACTTTGTGGAAATTTGCTCCTTGCTATGTGTTTTTTCCTTACAAAGACTTTCCACCAGTAAGAATGTGAAAATGTAAGGTAAGAAAACTGTGGACTATGTCACAAACAGTTAATACAGTATTAAGATAGTTTTTCTGGTCTCTAAAGAAATGGTACTTTAGAATTCAGTGTGTCTCAGAAACAATTCTGACCATTAAGTAAACATCAAAATTTTAATAAATAACATACACAAAAAAACAGACACCTTTTAACAATTACTTATACCTCACAAAACAATTTCTTTAACTGATGAAGAGTTTGGTGGGCTTTATCTTGGCAGTGTTCATTTTTACACAATTTTCAAATTGCATTTACTCCAATCTGATGAAATTCCACCTCTTTGGAATCACAGAAGAGATGAAACCAATACTGCTACAATACTGTGCCTTCCTGAAATGCTTCTATCCACCTATTAATAAGAGAAATCTGTTAGATTTGTAAAACCTTATCATCTGACATGTGAATAGCATATAGATGACAGCTGGGCCTGTGGACCTCATTACCATAACAACATAGATAAGATCCTTCCCTGTAGCAAATTGGTTTTCTGCATACATGGGACAACCCTTATTTGGTATTTGGTTCAAAATTTAGCCTGGAAAGTGTGCCCCTCATTTCTGATAGGCATGAGGAAAGGACCGTTTCATGTGTAAAAGTTCTATGAAGTCTTGATGCTACCAATTAATTTATTTTAGAAGTTGACATGTCAGTGAAGGCTTTATTACAACTTCTTTTTCATCTGGAATCTGACTCAGTGCTTTTAGGAAAGCTAGCTCCCTGTCTCCTCCTCCCTTAACTCTACAAGAAGTTTCCTTGTATATCCCCTAGTCTAGACCTGTTTCAATATTTGCAATTTAAAAAAAGGGCATCTAGTGTTGATCAAAAGTTTGCATGCTTTTCGGCCAGGTGCAATATGTGTAATCCCAGCATTTTGGGAGGCCGAGGTGGGCGAATCACCCAAGGACAGAAGTTTGAGACTAGCCTGGCCAATACGGTGAAACCCTGTCTCTACTAAAATACAAAAATTAGCTGGGTGTGGTGGTGTGTGCCTGTAATCCCAGCTACTCAGGAGGGGCTGAGGTTGAACACAGGAGCTGAGATCACGCCACTACACTCAGTCTGGGTGACAAAGTGAGACTGCGTCTAAAAAAATTTTTTTTAAAAAAGAGCTTCTCAAAGTTTCACAGAAGTCTTTCCAAAATTCTTTAGTCTTTTATTTGACAATATACACGGCTGCACTTATTCAGAAGATAACCTTCGGAGTAGTCTTTTTCTTCCCTACTAATGTAACTGCTTCTGAACTTTTTTCTTATGGAAATATCATTTCTTACAGTAATATTTTATGTAGGCTGGGCGTGCTGGCTCGCACTTGTAATCCCAGCACTTTGGGAGGCCGAGATGGGTGGACTGCCTGAGCCCAGGAGTTTGAGACCAGCCTAGGCAACATGGCAAGACCCTGTCTCTATTAAAAAAAAAAAAAATTATGGAAATATCATTTCTTACAGTAATATTTTATGTAGGCCGGGCATTGGTGGCTCGCACTTGTAATCCCAGCACTTTGGGAGGCCGAGATGGGTGGACTGCTTGAGCCCAGGAGTTTGAGACCAGCCTAGGCAACATGGCAAGACCCTGTCTCTATTTAAAAAAAAAAAAAATTATGTACAGAAGAGAGTCCAGAGAACTATGAACATTTGAAATCATTGAGTTTAATTAGTAAAAGCAACCTATAACAGATTCAGTTCAAATTTTAAGGACTTTTCAAAAATTTAATATTGAACATAAATAGCAAGTAAGTTTATAATGCCATAGCAAGGCTTTAAAAAAGTCCCCAAATTTTCCACTAAAATTAATACATTTTAATATTCTGTCATGTATTTTAAAAAGCAACTCATATAACATTAATAAAGTAAAACTTATAATTTAGCATGGGTCAATTCTAAATTACAAGTAAGCTGATTTCCTTTACCCAGCTATATTTAATTCTGTTTTGGTGGCATTTCTATCTTGTCAACTCAATGATATAAGCAAAAGATGACTTATATTGAAAAGCAGTAATTTTTTTCAGTTTGATGAATACAGATGAAAACTGTAAGGAAGGTGGTATCTGACAGAATCTTAGGGCAATTACTAATTTGTCTAAATAATTTTTGTAGAAAAGATAGTTAAGTAACATAATTTAAAAATATTCTTCAGCAGCCAAAAGAAAATATTTGGAAGAACAGCTATATACTGTTGGATATCCTAAAATAGACTGAAAAAGGAGTCCTATAGAGTGTTTGTAACATTGTACCTGGTTGGCATTCAGGGATGTGTGTAATTCTGGTACATTAATCTTAAAAGCCTTAAGAAACTAAAAGCCTCGCTTACTCAAAGCATTCTTTTTTATTTCCATGCACTTTTAAGCTTATGGTGAACACATGAACACCTCTTCCTGAAAACAGAAATGTATCATTTTGTGAGGCCAAGTAAAAATCAAATCAAAGAGAGATGAACTGAACTACTTTGTTCAAATGATAACTGATTTCACAGAGATGCATCTCTATGTTAAGCAAATGGTAACACCTAAAGAAAGATTCTTGCTCAAATTCTGAAGAGACTGTTTCAAAATAGCTTTGCCATCTAAACTGATATCCATTTCCTTCTACTCAGTTACTGGGAACAGCATGGGAGTCTCTTAATGCGTTTGACCTTTTCCCCAAAGAAGTTAGTGAGCAGCTGTTTAAACTCCTGCTGTTCCGTGGCACAACTGAATAGCTGCGTTGCCAAAGCCCTGGAATGTTTCAAGGGAAGATTCTTACCCTCATAGAAGGAGAGGTCAAATGCCTTAGCTTTCCTTCCTTTGAGCAGAGCAGCATCATGCTGCTTCCTCTGAGGTCATGTGTGGACAAAACACTTTGTATAGGACTACCTATTTTCTTTTCCCCTCTGCCGCCTGAAAATATTCCGGATACCCCTGCCTTGTCTCTAAAACCATTCTGAAGAGTTTGAATAATATGTTAAATCTTTCCAATTAGAATCTCTAATTTAAATTTTGAGTTGTCCCCATGCCTTAAAGTAGGTCATTTTACAAGCAACCATTAAAAAACTGCAATCTCATGAATAAAAGAAAAATATGGCTAGATTACTTACTTCTGAGCCGAATGAGCATCCTCTGCTTTGAATACATAAAATAACATGTTTTTGTGCAGTAACTGAAATACTTTAGCTTCTGAATTCTCATCTTTAACTTGAATAACAGTGAATCCTAATAAAGGCTGACTCTCCAAAGCGGCCACATCCTAATTTAAAAAAACACAAATGGAGAAAGGTTTTTAGATTAAGACAAAAATTCTGATTTGAAAACTCTTGATCTACAATAGCTCTAATTTAATTTCAATATTCACATATTAAGCAATGATAATTCTAACAACTTATTCATTTTTCATTTATTCAACAATATTCATTGAGCCACTCCCTCACTAGGTACCCTAATATGCCAGGCACTGTGGCACACAATTTTTGGCATCTTCACATCTGAATTTCACAATATCCTCACTCAACCAAGGAAGGCAAAGCAATAGAAATTACTTTTATTTATGGATGCAGAAAACAGCTCAGAACGGTAAGCTATTTACCTGGATCCCACTAAGGAAAAGTATGGACCCTAGAGCACTGGTTTTCATAGGCATGTGAAACATAAGGTGATCAGACAGGAGAAAAGGACAAAATTAGAGTAAACTGCTAGAAATTGTTTATAATCCAAAAAGCCTGTCTTATCTATGCTGCTATCAGATCACTACAATCTGAGGATGACAGTAAAGGGAGTACAAGAGAGCTTAGCAGAAACACAATTCTGTCTTTTTTTTTTTTTTTTTTTTTTTTTTTTTTTGAGACAGAGTCTGACTCTGCCGCCCAGGCTGGAGTGCAATGGCGCTACCTCGGCTCACTGCAGATTCTGCCTCCTATGTTCAAGCAATTCTCCTGCTTCAGCTTCCTGAGTAGCTGGGATTACAGGCACCAACCACCACGGCCAGCTAAATTTTTATATTTTTAGTAGAGACAGAATTTCATCATATTGGCCAGACTGGTCTCGAACTCCTGACCTTAGGTGATCCACCCTTCTCGGCCTCCCAAAAGTGCTGGGATTACAGGTGTGAGGCACCGTGCCTGGCCACAGCTCTGCCTTTAATGAAGTAATTAGTTCACACAACATACAAAAAAAATTGCATTTTAATAAAATTCCTAGCACATTTCAGAAAGTGCTCTCCAGGTACACCATTCACATTAAAAATAACAGCAACAACACCTCCCCCATCCAAAAGCAAAGCAAAAAATCATATATGAAACAAATGGATTTTTAAAATATTGTAACCACAAACCTCTAAATTCCTCATCTTTAGATTTCAGAACTTACCTCACTTGCAGCATATGTATATAGTACTTTATTTTTTATGACAAACCAAAAGTGTTTCCAGGGTTTTTTATTGCCCTTTGATCTGTACAAGTAGCCACTCATAGAAGAATCCTCTGTGTTTGCTGATACCTAGATTAGAAAGTACCATACAAAGTGTAATGGTTTTCAGACAAATTAAAACAGCAAAATTATTTGCAATCAATAGGTGCTAAAAGCAATAACTGTAATGATAGAATGTTTCAGGATGAAACATATTTACAAAGTGCTACTATGCAAATTGAACTTTGCTATTAACATGAGCAAAAAAAGAGAGAAAGACCAATCATTTTAGAGGCAGTTATAGAATTTTGCTTGGTTTAACTGTGCCTGCATGTGTTCGGGTGTGTTTCTTTTTTCTTCTTTTTTTCCGCCCTCTCAACCTAGCTTTTCTCGACTCTGGGAAGAACTGGGAAGAGAAGGTCTTTCTTTGTGGGTTCATTTGTGTTTTCTGGGTTGGCAGGTGAAGAAAAAGAGTTCCAGAAGACTAAAATGCTTTTCTAAAAGCTGGATTTGGAGACTGTATATTTTTTATTGCTCTTATTTAGGGGCATTAAGGAAAATTACTTGAACCGTTAATTCTGTTCCTAAAAAACATTTTTTGACTTCTACAAATCATATAAACACAATAATAAACAGAAAATTCTACCATTAGGGGGGCTCATTTTTAAGAATCAATCTTTGCTTCCCAAATTATGTTGAGGAAGAAAAGAGGCTTATTTTTACTTCATAAAACATTGAAAATACTTTCATCACTATGCAAAAAGACAGTAAACTTTTATTGATTGTTTGTTTAAAGACAGAGCCTCACTCTGTCACCCAGGCTGGAGTGCAGTGGCATGATCTCGGCTCACTGCAACCTCTGCCTCCTGGGTTCAAGTGACTCGTGCCCCAGCCTCCTGAGTAGCTGGGATTATGGGCGTGCACCACCATGCCCCGCTAATCTTTATATTTTTGGTAGAGATGGGATTTCTCCATGCTTACCAGGGTGCTGTCAATTTGCCCGCCTTGGCCTCCCAAAGTGCTGAGATTACAAGCGTGAGCTATGGTGCCTGGCCTATTGATTCTAATATGGTCATTCAAAGTTGTGTTTTTAAAAATGTTGGAAGACACTTTGGGAGTCCAAGGTGAGTAGATCACGAGGTCAGGAGATGGAGACCATCCTGGCTAACATAGTGAAAACTCATCTCTACTAAAAATACGAAGAATTAGCCGGGTGTGGTGTCATATACCTGTAGTCCCAGCTACTCGGGAGGCTGAGGCAGAAAACTGCTTGAACCTGGGAGGTGGAGGTTGCAGTGAGCCAAGATTGTGCCACTGCACTCCAGCCTGGGCAACCGAGCGAGACACCCTCACAAGAAAATAAATAAATAAATAAATAAATAAATAAATAAATAAATAAATGTAGGAAGAGTTTAGGATCTACCTTAGTAATGGTATGGCAGGCATATGCTGAAGGCGGCTTCCCATGACCCTTGTCGTGGAGAGTCATACTGTCATACAATCTCCTCCCCTTGAGTGTGGACAGAACCTATGACTTGCTTCTAACTGAGAATTTGATGAAGGTGATATGATGTCACTCCTATGATCATGCTACATTATCTATGACTCTGTCTTGTTAGGAAACACTCTAGATAAACTTTCTCCCTTGCTGGCTTTGAACAATTAAGCAGCAATGTTGAGAGGCCACACGGCAAGGAACTGAGGACCTCCAGCCAAAAGCTAGTAAGAAGCCAGGGCCCCAGTCTTGCAAGTGCAAGGAAATGAATTCTGTCAACAACCTGAATGAGTTTGGAAGCAGACTCCTTCCTCAGCTGAGCCTCTAGATGAGAACTCAGTACTTGCCAAAATTTTGCTTATAACCCTGCAGAGTTCCAGCTATGCCATGCCTGGACTCCTGGAATAATAAATGTATGTTGTTTTAATCTATAAGTTTGTGGTAATTTATTATGCAACAGTGGAAAACTAACACAGGTGGGCTCTGTGAATTTTAAAAGTATATCTTTAATCACATATTAATTGATGAATTATATTAATTTCTTATAAATTACATGAAAATAATTATATATTGTTTACTGGGAAATTTAAGACATAACATTAAATTAGAAATATTTGTTAGGCAACAGTAGGTTTATATAAATATATCCTTACAAAGACTACCAAGTAATATTTTTTAAAACATGAATTGTTTCCTATCTTAGTGAAAAAAAGAGAAAAAACCCAACTAGAATGCTTAACATTCAAATGAGATTTTGCTTAAAATACAGTTATAATGGAATCCTACTATGTTCTTATCTAAGTTGTTATTAATGTGGCTCAAAATGTATTACATTCCTCCTTTATACTAATTTACGATCAGTTTGTCAGCCACACAAGAAGATCAACCATAATACTGAATACCCATGACTAGACCTACATACTTTTTTTTTTTTTTTGAGATGAACTCTCACTCTGTCACCCAGGCAGGAGTACAGTGGCATGATCTTGGCTCACTGCAACCCCTGCCTCCCGGGTTCAAGTGATTCTTCTGGTTCAGCCTCCTGAGTAGCTGGGATTATAGGCATATGCCACCACACCCAGCTAATTTTTCTATTTTTAGTAAAGACAGGGTTTCACCTTCTTGGCCAGGCTGGTCTTGAACTCCTGACCTTGTGATCCACCCGCCTCAGCCTCCCAAAGTGTTGGGATTACAGGTGTGAGCCACCATGCCTGGCTGACTAGACCTGTATTTTTAAAAATAAAACTGGCGTTCACCTAACTGATCCACAAAACTTTTCTTCCAATGATTTGTTTACTTACAAAATAAATCAGGGTGGGTGTGAAGGACTATAAAGCTACACACTGGGTACACTGTATACTGCTCAGGTGATGGGTGCACTAAAATCTTAGATTTTACCATTATACAACTCATCCATGTACCCAAAACCCACAGGTACCCTGAGAGCAACTGAAATTAAAAAAAAAAAAACCTATCTCAAAATATGTAGTCTGCCATTCCTGAGAGTACTGAGGCTCTAAATGTAATTCTAAAAAGAGGAGTTTCTAAAAATATTTTAAACATGACTAGAATAAGAACACAACTTCCCAGTTTCTCGAAAAGTTAAACATAGAATTGCCATATGAGCAAGCAATTCTACTTTTGGGTATATACCCAAGATAAATGAAAACATATGTCCACACAGAAATTTGTACATGAATATTTCTATCATATTATTCATAATAGGCAAAAGGTGGAAACAACCTAATATTCAACAATGGATGGATAGATAAACTGTGGTATACACAAACAATGAAATACTATTCAGACATAGCAAACAAAGTATGATATGTGCTATAATTTCCATGAACCTCTAAAACATTGTGCTAAGTGAAAGAAGCAAGACACAAAGGTCATCCATTGTATGATTCCTTTTATATTTATATATTCCGAAGAGGCAACTCCGGAGGGACATAAAGTAAATTAGAGGTTACCAAAGGGTGAAGAAAGGGGGCAAAGGGGAAGAGATGCTTTCTCACTACACTGTGCAGGCTGGACTCGAACTCCTGGGCTCAAGTGATCTTCCCGCCTCAGCCTCCCCAGTGGCTGGGATTACAGGCCCGTGCTACTACCTCTGGCTTGGGACTGATTACTTAAGGAGTACAGGGTGTTTTTATGTGGTGATGAAAAAGTTTTTTTTTTTATTTTTATTTTTTGAGATGGAGTTTCGCTCTTGTTGCCCAGGCTGGAGTGCAACGGTGCAATTTCAGCTCACTGCAACCTCTGTCTCCCAGGTTCAAGCGATTCTCCTGCCTCAGCCTCCTGAGCAGCTGAGATTACAGGCAGCCGCCACTATACCCAGCTATTTTTGTATTTTTAGTAGAGATGGGGTTTCACCATGTTGGCCAGGCTGGTCTCCTGACCTCAGGTGATCCACCTATCTTGGCTTCCCAAAGTGCTGGGATTACAGGCATGAGCCACTGTGCTCCCCCCCCACCACCCAAAAAAGTTTAAAAACTAGAAAGATATGGTAATTGTGCAACATTGTAAATACACTAAATACTGCCAAACTGTACACTTTAAAATGGTTATTCTCAAAAATAAATAAATAAATAAATAAATAAATTAAATAAATAAAAGCCAGGAGCGGTAATCATGCCTGTAATCCCAGCACTCTGAGAGGCCAAGGAGGGTGGATCACCTGAGGTCAGGAGTTTGAGACCAGCCTGGCCAACAGCCTGGTAGAGACAGCCTGGTGAAACCCTGTCTCTACTAAAAATACAAGAAATTAGCCGGGCATGGCAGGCACCTATAATCTCAGTTATTTGGGATGCTGAAGCAGAAGAATCACTTGAACCCGGGAGGCAGAGGTTGCAGTGAGCCAAGATCAAGGTATTTCACTCTGGCCTGGGCAATAAGAGCGAAACTGTGTCTCGAAAAAAATAAATAAATGCAGAAATAAAATAAAAAATAATGGTTAACTATGTTATGCAATTTTCACCTCAATTAAACAAAAAACAAGTTCCAGGCACAGTGGCTCACACCTGTAATCCCACTTTGGGAGGCTAAGGTGGAGGGATTGCTTGAGGTCTCCAGGAGTTCCTGACCAGCGTGGGCAACACAGCAAGACTCTCTCCCTAAAAATAAAAATAAATGGTCGGGCGTGGTGGCTTAAGCCTGTAATTCTAGCACTTTGGGAGGCTCAGGAAGGCGGATCATGAGGTCAGGAGATGGAGACCATCCTGGCCACCATGGTGAAACCTTGTTTCTACTAAAAAATGCAAAAAATTAGCTGGGTAGCTGGGCATAGTGGCATGCACCTGTAGTCCCAGCTACTTGGGAGGCTGAGGCAGGGGAATTGCTGGAACTTGGACGGTGGAGGTTACAGTGAGCAGAGATTACGCCACTGCATTCCAGCTGGACGATAGAGTAAAACTGTCTCAAAGAATTAAATAAATAAATTAGCCAGGCATGGTGGTATGTGTCTATAGTCCTAGCTACTTGGGAAGATGAGGTGAGAGGATCCCTTGATCCCAGGAGCTCAATTTAAGTGAGCTATGATCACACCACTCTATTCCAGCCTAGGCAACAGTAAGAGACCCTGTCTCCCAACAAAACAACAACAATAAAACATAGCTTCCCAAGGGGAATACTATATATTGACTTTTATAGCACCAGCTAGATGTATTAATTTCTCCCATCTGACTGCAAAAGGAGCAAAGAAGACATTCTCAACGTTTAGCATTTATCTATCTGAATCACCAGAAGTGCTTGTTTCTCACTCTGCAGACTTTGGGTGGGGCCCAAAAATTTCTAATAATTTCTCAAGTGATGCTGATGCAATGGGGCTGGGGCATATTGAGAATGAGTGGAGTAAAACAAGTGGCTGCATTTGCAAATAGAGGCTTGAAGTGGAAGGCCTGTTTGTGTGGATGGGTGGAAAGATGTATAAAATCGGATTGGAGTTAGACTGTCTAGCCTAGACTAGGCTGTAAAGTGTTTCGTAATCAATGCTGTGGAATTTAGATCGTAAAGGGGAGCAAATTTTAAGAATTACATTTAGAAACTGACATCAGTATAGAGAGGTGAAAATTTACAGAGAACTGAGAACCATTTGAGTTGAGTAAGAACCTCAAAGTTCTGAAAGCAGATGTGGATTCAGGAATTGAGGAAGAGATCATTCATTTTTGTATGAAACTTAATCAGTTTCATATAAAACATGGCAATTACAACCTTAAGTTCTATTCCCTTTTTTTTTGAAAGACAGAATCTGGCTCTGTCAACCAGGCTGAACTGCTATGGCACGATCTCAGCTCACAGCAACATCTGGCTCTGGGGCTCAAGCGAGCCTCCTGCCTTAGCCTCCAAGTAGCTGGGATTAGGACTACAGGCATGTGCCACTGCACCTGGCTAATTTTTGTATTTTTTAGTAGAGATGGGGTTTCGCCATGTTGCACAGGCTGGTCTCGAACTCCTGAGCTTGAGCAATCTGCCTGCCTTGGTCTCCCAAAGTGCTAGGTTACGGGTATGAGCCACTGCACCCCAGCCAAGTCCTGTTCTTCTTAGTTCCTGGGACTGGCTATAAATCACTTCATATTATTTCAACTGGAAATATCCTCTTTTTTGTGCAGTAGTGAGAAGGGGGGAAATAGTAGACAGGGAATTCAATCTGTAGCTGACTGTGAACAATCGAGATAACTCACTACCTTTGGACCAGCCTCAACTGGGAATATACTCTTAACTTTACATAAGAAACATGATCTTGATCAAATTTTTAGAGTTCTTTGCTTCCACAAGAGAACCAAATTAAAAACTACTCTTCTGGCCACAAAACTAGCACAGGTGGACCTCGTTAATAAATTGACCATAATGGAGTAGCCAAATGGCAATGCTCTTTGTTCTTTGACACTTAAATTTGAGGAACTTGGATAGGGTATCAATAATGTCTGTGGTTTACACCATTAGCAGGTCTAGGCATATAGTCTATTATCACTATTTAAAATTTTCTTTTAAGTTTAAAGAAAAGACAACCTACTACCAGTGATACCAGCTCTGCATAATCAACCAACACCTACAAATAAACTGTGCAGATCAACGCCCCAAATATTCTGTGGACCTCTTCCCTTTGGCAAGGGTTCTGCTCAAAGTCATTTTTAAAAATTCATGGTGTCCAACTTATCTTTACTTTTTATCACTGTTATTAAATGTTCTCTAAACTTTTCAACAGCCATTTTCTAAATGACTCAGGTCAGACGGGAGACCAAGCACCATTGTGAGGCATCAGCCACATCCATCATCAGTATTAAAATTCATGACTTAATAGTTGTGGGAAATGACATCTTCCTTTATGAAAGAAAAACTGTATTATATGCATATAAATAATTCAGCCTCTATCACATTGCAAGTTTAATGGAAACACTTACTTCTTTGAGAGCAGCTGGGATTTTTTTCTGTTTCCTCCCTGATGGAATGCTATGTAAGACTGATGATAAGGCACTTGAAGATTTGTGATTTCCAGGAGATCCAATCCTAGGGGAGTGCTGGTGATCTAAAACAAATGAGGCACACTTATGTAGTCAATGCTCAGCATTTTGCAATTCAATTTCATTCAAATTCACAGACATTGTTGCATAAAGTATCCATGGAAGGACACTAAGAAACAACATTGATAGCTCCTGGAAAAGGACAATGGATGGCTGGGAGGTCAGTGGAAGGAAGACTTTCTACTCTCTATGGTTTTATACTTTTTGAACTTTAAACTATGTGAAAAGATTACTCTTGTGTGTCTTTAGAATTATGAAACATGTGACTATACTACTAACTTAAAAAAAAAATCCAAAAAACCTTCCCTATTTACTTAAATCCCAAAGAATCCTGATATTGTTAAGTGTCCAGATACCAGATCAACTATAATGAACAAAAGTAGTTAAAAAGGGGCAACTGGACATGGATGAAGTAATGAATTCTGATTGCAGTGGTTCAGGGAAAGTTGAAAAGATAAGATGTTTAAGTTGGCCATGAAAGAATAGGAATTTGCCAGGTTAAAACAAGCAGGAGGGGCCAGGCGCAGTGGCTCATGCCTATAATCCCAGCTCTCTGGGAGGCTGAGGCGGGTAAATCATGAGGTCAAGAGTTTCAGACCAGCATGGCCAACATGGTGAAACCCCATTTCTACTAAAAATACAAAAAATCAGATGGGCGTTGGTAGATGCCTGCAGTCCTACCTACTTGGGAGGCTGAGGCAGGAGAACTGCTTGAAACTCAGAGGTGGAGGTTGCAGTAAGCAGAGATTGCACCTCTGCCCTCCAGTGGGGGAGACAGTGAGACTCCATCTCAAAAAAACAAACAAATAAAGAATAAAACAAAAACAAGCAGGAGGAACACTGCACCAAGAGGTCAGCATGAGCAAAGGCAGAGAGGTATGAAATTAAATCATCTATTTGGAGAATAATGAGGCCAGATTTTTTTTTTTTTAAAGGGGCTGGTTTGAAGGAACCTGGATTGTTGTTTATACGTTTTAGGCTGGGGAGTGACATGACCAGATTAAATTTAAAAAAAAGATTATATCTGACAGTACTAAGGAGAAAGGACTAACAGCAGGGAAACCTGTTAGGAGATTATTATAGTTGTCTAGATGAGAAATAATGGAGGTCTTCTTAGGGCTGGGATGGAGAAATCAAGACAAAGATTTTTGATGATAAAATTGACAAGTTACTGACAAAATGGGTATAGGTGATGAGGAAGGAGAATTCAAAGACAAATTTTGAATGTTTGCAGCTTATAGCATATACCCAGACTAAAGGGAGGAACATAAAGGAAGAGATGGATGGGTCTTCTTGGAAAATGTATACAGATAATAATAAATTATTAATCTAGAAATATGCAGGCTCTGAAATAGCATGTCATCCACTTTTTATTGACTTAGAAATTCCTCCTTGCTAATGAAAACCTATCCTTCAGGGAAATGAAGAACAAACTTTTAAAAGTTTAGATCCTGGCCAGGCGTGGTGGCTCATGCCTGTGATCCCAGCACTTTGGGAGGCTGAGGCAGGTGGATCATTTGAGGCCAGAAGTTCAAGACCAGCCTGGCCAACATGGTGAGACCCCATCTCTACTAAAATACGAAAATTAGCCAGGCATGGTCCCACGTGCCTGTAATCCCAGCTACTCAGGAAGCTGAGGTAGGAGAATTGCTTGAACCCTAGAGGCAGAGGTTGCAGACTGCATCACTGCACTCCAGCCTGGGTGACGGAGTGAGATCCTATCTCAATCAACAAAATAAAATAAAATAAAATTTAGATCCTATAGGTTTCAGGAATTGAACTAAAAATCCCTTCCCAAAAAACAGACCTGAGCAGTCCTGCTAAGTTGCATTCACTTTAATGGAGGATACCTGTAAATAATGAGCAGGGAAATAAAAAGTACCATTTTGTATTTGGTCAAAAAGCTGCACATTCACATATATATTAGGGTTCAACTGACTAGAATTAAGCTAACGAAGTGCCATCTAATGCACTTCCATAGAGAATTACTTTACATATGGATAAAATGATTTGTAATGAGCACGCTATCCTGTGAAACGATAGACTTCAAAATTACTGGAAAGTTAAAGTTCTCTTTTACTGTTTTACCGTGTAATTACACTCCTATGGTTTTCTTAGCAAAATCTTTTTCACAGACTAAAACCAAATTTCAGGCCAACCTCTCCTACAATTACAAGAAGATATGAATTAAGAAAGCTTACTACAAATTTGGAGATAAGTATCAACAATCATATTGCTAATGTACCAAAGGTGTTTCTGTCAGAAGCTTGTTTGAAAGCATCTGGGGAATAAAGGAATTTTTTGTTAAATTTTTATTTATATATTACCTAATTTCTGCAGTTCTTGGAAACAATGTTCACATACTCTTGCTGGTTGATTTTTCAGGTAATCTAAGCCATACTTATTGGATGAACAAGCTTGGCATACAATCTGAAAATACATTGGAATTATTTTGTTAATTTCATTAGAATAACTTGTGTTTCCAAACCATAAAGTATGTTACAATTTACCGTGCCATCCACTTTTCAAAACAGTTTCACAGTCACTGAATCTCATTTGGTCTCAATAATAACTCTATGGAGTTCGGGCATACAGTAAACTAATGCATGGTACCACACTTGTAAGATGAAGAGGCCACAGATTATTACTTACAAAGGGCTGACTACATAAAATAATAAAGTAAAGGAGTAAATATATACAAAATGTTTAGAACTGTACCTGGCATGCAAGAAGGCCTGTGAAGTATACTGATCACCATCATTGTCATCATAATAATCACTGCTGCAGCAACGACCATGTCTCTGCTTCTCTACCAAGTTCTTGGGCTCTGTGCTAAATGCTCTCTAAATAGAACCCCATTTAATCTTCAGAGTAACTCTCTGATGTTGCTGTTTCTGCACCCATTTTACTAATGAGAACATGAAGTCTTAGAAACATCACTAGGGATAACTTCAACACTGAACATTCCCCCTACTGAATACTATAGATACTTAGTACTAGAGAGAGGCAGTTTAAATAATAGCTGAAATGTGAGGGCCTATTTAATTGTTGATTTCTTAGATTGATTCAAAGTTATTTATTACTGATGTTCTAATGTAACTGAAGTAGGAGGGTGGAAGTTCCCTAAGAAGATTCTCTCTGTCCCTAAATATTTAGAGAAAACACCATTCATGTTTTCTTCCATTAACATAGTAATAATAATTGTTATTGTTATTCTTGAACTACAATGATTTATGAGGGGAAATATTCTTCCTCACTATGTACAGCCTGAAGAAAGTAAGGACCACAATGGAGACAGGTGTTATCCTTGCCAACCTTTCCACAGGCCCGGCAGTGGTGTCGTCTCCAGGTGAGAGTAAATTCACTTGTGCAGATCATACACATTGTGGCTCTGGTATCAGGAATCCAGATGGGAGCCTTTGATCCAAGAGGACTAACTTCCTCTTTATTTTCTGAGTCTGCCTGCGGAACAAGAGCAACTTCTGATTATCCCCATGCAAACTGCCTGCCTTTTTATTCGGCAGTGGCGTCTCACACTACCACTAAGATGGGGATGAGGGTAAGGTGAGATGGCTCAGGCCTGTAATCCCAGCACTTTGGGAGGCCAAGGCAGGCAGATCACTTGAGGTGAGGAGTTCTCGACCAGCCTGGCCAACACAGCGAAACCCTATTTCTACTAAAAATACAAAAATTAGCCAGGTGTGGTGGCAGATGTCTGTAATTCCAGGTACTCAGGAAGTTGAGGCAGGAGAAAAATAATATTTGAACCTGGGAGGTGGAGGTTACGATGAGCGGAGATTGCACTGCTGCACTCCAACCTGGGTGATAGAGTGGGACTCCATCTCAAAAAAAAAAAAAAGATGAGGATGAAATAATGGGCTATTGGCAGGTGCAGTGGCTCATATCTGTAATCCCAGCACTTTGGGAGACCGAGGCAGGAAGAACACCTGAGGTCAGGAGTTTAAGACCAGCCTGGTCAACACGGTGAAACCCCTGTCTCTACTAAAAATACAAAATTAGCCGGCATGGTGGTCCGGGCCTATAATCCCAGCTGCTCAGGAGGTTGAGGCAGAAGAATCACTTGAACCCTGGAGGCAGAAGATGCAGTGAGCCAAGATAGCACCACTGCACACCAGCCTGGGCAACAAGAGCGAAATTCGTCTCAAAAAAAAAAAAAAGGAGAAAAAGAAATATGGGCTATTATATTTTTCATGTGCTCAGAATACTAAGATTAGCTGCAATCTAAAAATCTTCTAATGCAAAATTAACTTAAAATGATGCCTGAGGTAGTGGAATGGCAACTGATTAGTTTCTTCCTTAAATTATTTCGTATTTTCTAAATTTCCTACAATGAAGTTTTATAGCTGGGAAAATACATGAATATGCTATATCTGATCACAGATGGGCAATGAGACATTAACAGAAGGATAAACTTTTAGTGTTGAAATGAGACATTAATCTGTAGAGTAACTCTCTGATGTCCAGTCCAATCATTCTCTGAAACACACGTTGCTTTCCTAAACCCCTGTGAAATGCTTAGGGTAAAAACTTTGAAATGAGCTGGGAAAAAAGAAAAAAAAAAAAAGAAGACAATACCTCATCAAGACTCCTACTAGGACAGAAGGTGATTCTTTTCTTGGCATACTCTTCTATTGCCCTGGAAATCGCTTCTAGCCATTCATCCCTTTCTGTGGCAGAACTGTTGGGGGCAAAAGGTTTCATCAACCAGATGTCAGCTTTCATTCTTTGCCTTTTTCTTACTTCTTTTCTTTCTCCTATAGCAACAGATCCCACCTCCAACAATACTAGTCAAAAAAGCAGCAACTCTGAGGTTTATGTGAACAGATCATCAGAGCAGACAACAGAGAACCTGTGATGGCATTTTAGCAAATAGAATGCATATTTTTTCTTTCCAAAAGTTCTGCTTTGTATTAAATAACTTTTGAACTCTCCTAAATTTGGAAATATTTTTGGTTTCATTTAAAGGATAATTGTACAATGAATAATTACGATTATTTATAAAGCCAAGGAGTTTCTTAAGACATCATCCTAGAATTTAAAAAGGTTCCAAGAAGTTTCAAATTCCAAATTATAGCAAAGAGTACTAAATACCTTTAGATTACTAAACATTACTAAAATTTTCTAGGAAAGGCACTGGAGTGAGGAGAACATATTTTTTTGTATTAGAAAGTAGATGTTGAAGGAGTGGTTCACACAGGAAAGGCTGCAGTTGTTGTTAGGGCTTCTCTGCCTATTTCACCCACCAAGTTGTCTGTGCCTACTCTAAGCTCATCAGGAGATATCTTTAATTCAGTGCTATACGGGAATGGGCCAAACAGGGGCAAGCCTGGTAAGGAGGGGGTATTTTTTTTCTCTGTTTTTCTAACCATGCCTCTCTCCCAAAACCACATTAATTCCAAGTCAATACTGGTATTAGCATACTTATGAAACCACTGTTTAAATTTTGTTTTGTACATTCAAAACTTAGAGGCACATTTTAGGTATTATAAATCAAAAATAAATATACAAATCTATAAATACACAGTAGAGAAAGAGCAGAAAAGAGAAGGGAGAGGGAATGAGAGAAAGGAATACTTTAATAAATAATTAAAACTCCATCATAATAAAATAAAATTCCTCAGAATGGGACTGTGACTTTTTTTTTTCTTCCCAGAAGATTTAGAATTGAGTGACTGTGTTTTTTAAAAAAAGTCTGCAGTTTAATTTACAGAGGCATTTTGAGGTATACAGAAGTAAAACGGGATGAGTGTGGTGGCTCACGCCTATAATCCCAGCACTTTGGGAGGCCGAGGTGGCTGAATCACTTTAAGTCAAGAGTTCGAGACCAGCCTGGCCAACATGATGAAATCCCATCCCTACTAAAAATACAAAAATTAGCTGGGGCCAGGCGCGGTGGCTCACGCCTGTAATCCCAGCGCCTTGGGAGGCCGAGGAGGGTGGATCACGAGGTCAGGAGATCGAGACCATCCTGGTCAACATGGTGAAACCCCGTCTCTACTAAAAATACAAAAAATTAGCTGGGCATGGTGATGTGTGCCTGTAGTACCAGCTAGTCAGGAGGCTGAGGCAGCAGAATTGCCTGAATCCAGGAGGCGGAGGTTGTGGCGAGCCGAGATCATGCCATTGCACTCCAGCCAGGGTAACAAGAGCGAGACTATGTCTTAAAAAAAAAAAAAAAAAAAAAAATTAGCTGGGTGTGGTGGTGAGCACCTGTAATCCTAGTTACTTAGGGGGCTGAGGCAGGAGAACAGCTTGAACCCAGGAGGTGGAGGCTGTAGTAAGCAGAGATTGTGCCACTGCACTCCAGCCTGGGTGACAGAGCAGGACTCTGTCACAAAAAAAAAAAGAAAAGAAAAAGAAAAATAGAAAAGCAGAAGTAAAATGATCTGATATCTGCAGTTTGTTTTAAAATGGAAAATTATGAAACAGGAAAACTGGTAGCAAAATCTTGATGATTATTTTTAGTCTGGGTGACTGAATATGCAGTTTCTGGTTTTATTCACCCTAACTTTAAGTGTATTTGAACTCTTAAGCAGTGTTTCTAAAATAAAAAATTCCACCATTAATAATGGTATATATAGACATATGTTGCTGTATTTTAGAGAACCCAAGGCAGGTCAAGAATAGTAACCACTCACCTTCCCTACAATCATCATTCTCAGAAAGCACCTCCCTAATTAATGGCTTGAGTGCCATTTAGAATGTCCATTCACATGGATTTAAAAAGGTGGAAATCCAGTTTACAAATGAAATTTTAAAACAAATTCATTTCTCAAATTTTCATTATATATGAAGAACAATAAAAAAGAAATAACCTCTTTCTCTCTAAAGCAAACAAAACCCTGCCTTATTTATCACTACTATTCTTGCATTACTGCCAAAACTAGCTGCCATTTAACAGTTACTACGTCAACCAACTCTGCTAAATGCTTAGCAAATGTCACCATGTCTCACCCTCAGAGCTTCCCCATGGAATATTTTGGATCTTACACCCCCTGCCCCCAACTACAACATCATCACCCACCTTCACCATTTACAGACAAGGAAACTGAGAATTAGTAATGTTTCATAATTTGCTTTACAGACAACAGACTATTAAGTGATGAGCTGGTATTAAACCCAAGTATAGTTAAGGACTGAACCTCTCACCACCAGGGCATTGATAGCCTCTGCTCATGTTCCCTAGAGAACTACATGATGAGAATACATGCTCAGGCTTCCAAGAAAACATTCATAAAACATTACCATCTCTCCCTCCCTCCCCTGCTCCTCACCAGAAGAGTAACAGAAAGCAGAGAGGCAGATGGTAAATTTGAGAGTTGCTGTTGGATTCTTCTGGAGCCCTGGGAGCATGGGGAATGTGATTCAACTGTGCAAATCATGTCACATATGCTGTTCTTTCATTTAATCATTCCTGGCTCTCTCCTGTGTGGGGTTCTGCCAAGACAATGTTTACCAGCTCTTGATAACACATTTCTCACAGACCACACACATTTGCCCGCAGCATCCAGTGGAGATATTCTTTGTAGTCTCCTTTTATAACATGATTAGCAGAAGAATCAGCATCTTCCTCAAACTGAAAAACTGTTAAGCTAAGTAATATTTTACTTATAGAATGTGTATAGCATAAGAAAGCAAATTTTTATCAAGTAAATACCACTTTCCCAATTACTGGGATGAATTGTCAAGGGTTAAAAACCTGACTGGGCATGGTGGTTCACACCTGTAATCCCAGCACTTTGGGAGGCAGAGGGCAGATCACCTGAGTTTAAGAGTTCGAGACCAGCCTGAGCAACATGGCGAAACCCAGTCTCTACTAAAAATGCAAAAATTAGCTGGGCATGGTGGTGCGCACCTGTAGTCCCAGATACCCAGGAGGCTGAGGCAGGAAAATCATCTGAACCTGGGAGGTGGAGGTTGCAGTGAGCTGAGATCATGCCACTGCACTCTAGCCTGGGCAACAAACTGAGAGTCCATCTCAAAAAAAAAAAAAAAAAAAAAAATTGGCTGGGCATGGTGGCTCATGCCTATAATCCCAGCACTTTGGGAGGCTGAGGCAGGTGGATCATGAGATCAGGAGTTCGATACCAGCCTGGCCAACATGGTGAAAACCCATTTCTACTAAAGATACAAAAAATTAGCTGGGCATGGTGGTGCGTGCCTGTAATTCCAACAAGTGGGCAGGCTGAGGCAGGAGATTCACTTCAACTGGGAGATGGAAGATGTAGTGAGCCGAGATGGTGCCATTGCACTCCAGCCTGGGTGATAAGCAAGACTCCGTCTCTAAATAAATAAATAAAGGGTTAAAAATCCTTCAATAGAAAGGATTTGGGGTTGTTAGACCATGCCACACCATTTACTACATGGACTAACTGCAGGATGCTTCTCTGAGGTCCAAAGGCCACATCACTTTGATTTGTTACTAACATTCACTGGGAGCCTACTGAGCCAGGACCTAAGCCAAGAATTGGGCACACAAAATATACCTCACTTGTAAGGATGCAAACTTACAAGTGTGAATTGAGGTAAAACATGTAATTAAAATATTATATAAGGCCGGGTGCAGTGGCTCAAGCCTGTAATCCCAGCACTTTGGAAGGCCGAGGCGGGTGGATCACGAGGTCGAGAGATTGAGACCATCCTGGTCAACATGGTGAAACCCCGTCTCTACTAAAAATACAAAAACGTAGCTGGGCATGGTGGTGCGTGCCTGTGATCCCAGCTACTCAGGAGGCTGAGGCAGGAGAATTGCCTGAACCCAGGAGGCGGAGGTTGCGGTGAGCCGAGATCACGCCATTGCACTCCAGCCTGGGTAACAAGAGCGAAACTCCGTCTCAAAAGAATAAATAAATAAAAAATAAAAAATAAAATAAAATAAAATATGATATAACAAATGTAGATAAGTAATAGAAGTAGTAAATTACCTTATGTAAGTAGCAGGGATAGCTTTGCAAAGGTGATAACAAAGTTAGGACTTGAGGAGTTAGTTATAGTTTGGCAAGAAACTCTCTGTCTCTGTGTACCCTCATTCAGTCTGCCAGCTGTGGTCATCTCTAAGCTGATAGTGCCCAAATATACGCCTCTGGTCCAGACTTCCCTCTGAAATCCAGATCCTTACAGAAACTGCCCCTTGATGGCTGCATTTGGATACTGCATAGGCACCTTGCATTTCATATGCATATCTGAAACTAAATTCCCAATTTCTCCCCTAAAGCTGTTCCTCTCCCAGTGCTGCCTGTCACAGTGAATGGCACCAGCTCCCAATTCATCATATATCCTGGAGACTCCTCTGCAGAACTCCTCTTATACCCTGTGTCCAATCAGTCACCTCCTTTAGACCACTTCCCAAACCATATTTCATGCAGCAGCTGGATACTATTTTAAAAGTGCCAATCTGATCACATCATTCCCTTGTATAAGCCTTTCAGTGGCTTCTTGTGGCACTGAGGCTAAAGACCAATTCCCACAAGATGGTTCTGCACCATCTAAGTCACCTGCCCCTCCAGGCTTATCCTGGGTCATTCTCCTCCTCACTTTCAAGCTCATGCCGCAATGGCCTTCCAATTTTCTGAATATGTCATGCCCCTTAGGTGAAAAGCACTTTGTACACAGTGCTCCCAATGACCAGGAGTCTCTTCCTTGTTCCTCTTTGCCCCTCCGTCTGACTCGTACTTATCT